TTTGTCACTGACAACAAAAAAAAATCACAGATATTTTCACATCATATTAATTCTTGCAGATTTTTCAAAATGCTGTTTATGCTCATCACTACTTTGAAATTACGGTAGCTAGTAGATATGAGGCCTTGTTATTTAACCCATTAAAAAGCACATATTATAAAAATATTTTGATAACTGTTTCTCAGTATAATCAGTCGTCTTTGTAATTCCATGCGATGTGTTTTATTCATTTGAAAACCTTCTCTGAAGAGGCGCCAAGTTGCCAGCAGACACCAGAAGACCCCAGCATAAGCAGGATGAGGTAGCACGGAGACCCTGCTGCCACCTCTCAGGAAGGATGCAGGACTCCTGTGACCTCGTGGCTACCCCTGCCCATCCAGCCTCTTCCAGAATTCTTTCAGAGATGGCAACATGGTGTGCACTGTGGTCGCCCAGCAAGTAGCTGCCCCCTCCCTGTCAGAACACACTTCCATGACTGAGGACGACAGCACTGGGAGGTGACTGTTGCCGGCCCAAGCACCTGAGCGCCCCATCTGGCAGTGGGGTCTGAGAAGTCTGCAGGGGCGAGGCGGGTGGCCACTGGGACAGACAGGTCTGCCCTAGAGAGAGGAAGGAAGGAACGGAGAGAGGGAGAGAGAGAGAGAGAGAGAGGGGTGGAGGTGGGATTTGGTCAGGCAGAAAGCAGTTTGTTTCCAACAACGTCAAGCCCAGGATTGACCTGGAACCCCGTCACCTGTGGATTTCTTGTTACGTGAGACAATAAAGGTCTTTTAATTTAAACTGCATTTAGTAGGGATTTCTGATGCTCGTAACTGACAATGCTCCAGCAGAGAATTCTCTGCAATTGAAGAGAAACATGGACAGTTAATTTCTGGAGGTTCTTCAGTGAGCCTGCATTGGCCACTCTGAGTTCTCCATCTTGGCTCTTGGCTACTGACCCCCCAAGGCTTCTTTCCGTCACCTTCAGGTGGTCAGCGCCTTTCTGAGACTCAGTCTTGATTCTCATAACTGCATCCAAGGCCTGGTTCAAAGTCTGACTCCCCCTTGGGTGGAACCTGGGGTGAGGACCATGACATTCTTGTCTGAAGCCCCCCCGTCTCCCTCGTCCGGCACCCAGGGCCTGGCCCACAGGTGCCCGGACAGGAGCTGCTGAGTGAATCTCTCATGACTCCTTTGGGACCCTATGGAGACAAAGTCTTTTGGAGACATAATGTAGATCATTTGCAGGCACACATAGTACATAAAATCAAATAAGTTTACTCAGGAATATGTAAGGACATCTAGAAAGAGAATTTTCTTTTTTTTTTGGTAAGTCCACGGACAGAGAATATGAGAAGAGATTTTATTTTCCTGGCTGAATATTTTTAAAAATGTGAAAAATACTGCAGAATCAAATAGCTAAGTTAGGTTAAGTATTTTATTCTAAAAAATTTTGCAAATTGGATCCTCTCTGCTCCAGCCCAGAGCTCATACAGCTCCCCTCCCTCCAGAATCGGCCCAAGCTCCTTCCTGGGCACGCGGGATGCCACCTTACCCGACCCACCCGGGCTCGGCTCACTGAGTCTTGCTCGGTCTGCACAGCACTTTGCCCGTCCTCTTTTCTTGCCATTTGACGTGTTTCCTCCTCTCCTAGGTCTTCGGGACAGTCAGGGCAACAGTGTTTCACAACAAATTCTTATTGAATCAACTTTTCCCTGTTGCTAAAGCAGGAACCACACACAATTCCTAAGGGCCCTGATGAGTACTGCACAATTACGCTAAGAGCTTCTTTTGTTTCTCAAATTGCAGGAGAGCCAAATTTTTGGTTGTTTCAAATAATGGGGAAAGAAGATGCATAAATGTGGCCTCCAGAAGGTTAAAAAAACTCACCTGGGCCAGCCTTTGCAGTCACCACCCCCCACCACCACCATCTCAATCCAAATTGCTTAACAAAGGATTGGTCAATGTTGTGTCTCCTTGACACACCTGTGGGGCTGTTCGAAGGCTGAGGATGACGGGAAAGAACCTCAGTCAGCCTCGGATGGAACTGGAGAGTCCCAGGTAACTGGGAAACAAGTATATTGATTTTAAATACTTGGAAAACTGTGAAAATATTTGTCCCCTGCCCCCTACCCCGGTTTGGAGCGCAGGCTCTGGGTCTGAGCGCCCAGGGCAGACTCCAGGTGAGTACTTAGGAGTGGCGTGACCTTGAGCAGGTTAAGGGCTTCAGGCACCGGCTTCCCCAGCCCACTGTAAATGCTGCACATCCGGCCATCTCACAGGAGACGGCGAGAAGACAGTGGGAATGTATTTAAGGACTTGGCTCGGTGCCTGGGCCACCATCCACACTCCACAGTTGATAACAGTTATTATTACAAATAAGAATAAACACGGAAAGGGACAGCAGTAAAAGGTGAATGCGTTTTAAAAGTGTGATAAGCAGGGCCCCGAAGCAGACAGACCATAATCACAGCCTCACACACCAGTCACATCCGTCCTCTAAAGACCCAGAATGACGGCCGCCACCAGAGAGCAGTATCTATAAAGGATCTTCTCTTTATTTAAGTTAAACAATTTCAAGGATGGTTTCCATCTATAAAATGGACAAAGTACAAGCTCTGTACAGCAGTTCTTTTTAAAAATCAACTGGAAAAAAAAATTACCAAATTATATTCTGAATTTGCAGAACATACTCACAGATACCATCATTTTAGCTTTTATGAAGACAAAAGAAAGACCACCACAGAGAAGACAACTCGGCCACACTCTGCTCAAAGGGCTCGTAGGAAAGAATCTTTACTTGTAAAAATGGGAGCGGGAGGGTGGGACAGTCACGATGACTGAAAATAATGGAGCCACAATAAGTCACTTTGGCACACTGTGTCATGTAAACATAGCTCACCTCCAGGGAGCCCTCCCCACCCACTTCTGCTCTGGACGCCCACCACCCAAGGCCACCGCCCACCAGCTCAGGGACAGGGAGCTGCCCCCAAGGGACTGGATGGCCTGTCCCGATGGTACAAAGCTTGGTAAGACTTCTGGGTGGGGTGGAGGTGTGTGGGCAAAGGATTTGTCAAGAACATGATTAAAATTTGTTTTCCATCTAAGCCCAATTTGTTTTCCATCAATGGGATTTTTTTGCTCACAGCAGTAGTTCACAGGTGACAGGTCTGATGACAGACGCAGGGGCTTGGGCTGAGTGCACCAGCACGGCCCCTGGCTCCTGCCGCCTGTGTTCTACGGCCTGGCACAGGCACCTTAGGCTCTCTCAAGAGCCCACTTGCAGTCAGGATCAGCCTCTGAAGATGAAGTGCGCTGAGTTAATCCAGCCATGGATTAATCCTGCCTGCCCCCTGAAAATACATCTGGCTGCTCGGCAGGGTGCAAAAAGAGAGAAGACACAGGACAGGCCCCCAGCTGCCCCTCCACGCCCAACCCCACTGTCCTAAAGCAAACACAGGTGGGGCTTCTGCAGTGCAGGAAGAAAGACCAACAATGTTCCCTTTCCTAGGAGAAACAGGCAGGAAAGAGAGTGGCAGTTCGCAGAATCTTCCGGGGCCACTTCTCACTCTGTGACCTCCCAGTCCCTCCCAAAGGGGCCTGGAGATGTGCAGTTATGATGCACGTGGCAGCCTTGCTGACACTGGGCACGTGTGCGGGAGGGGGCAAGTGGAGAAGGAAGGAGGGCGCCGACCAGGAGAATGTCTGTCATTGAATATGGGGACACTGCAAAGGCAAGGAGGGCTCTGCAGGGACATTCCTGGGCGTTGAGGCAGATGCCCTGGCATCTCTTCCCGTTACTACTGTCAGCTCGTAACTGTCTCGTGGTGCATCCTGACACCTGCCTCTTAACCCACCAGGCTCCTGTTTCATGCCCCGAATCCTCAATGTCGATGAGCAGGCGTTGTTTGGTTTCCACCCTTCCTAATTCTTGACCCAAAGCCCCTGGGGCAGTCACCTGGGCCTGGGAGGGACAGGGTCCAAGTGACCCTGACAGTACCGCCAGCACACCAGGATACTCAGGGTTACCCAATGCTAGCCTGTGACAGCTTCCTACGTCATTGGGGATTTATTTTAGAGAAGAAAAAAATTAATTTAAAAGACCCAACGCAACATTTGTCAAAATAAGTAACCTCCAGGTTTACAGAGACCAAAGACACGAAAGGTGGCTTCCAACAGACAGCAGTGACTCTCGAGCTGAAGCCGAACAGAGACGCATGGGCCTGAGGCCTGGGGCCCGGGGCCCAAGGGCACCCTCGCCTCCCGGGGGGCCAGCTGCACGAAAGCCTAGCCGGCCAGGGCAGCAGCTGCTCGCTGCAAGGCTCCAGGGGGCAGAGGCCGCACTTTCTCCCGGGGGGTGGGGGTGGGGGGGAGAGCCCCACCCCAGAGGGCTCCGGGGCCGCCGCCTCCTGGCCGCGACCTGCTTCATGGAGAATTTACAAGATGAGGACGACCTACAGAAACCATAGGGAACTGACAGTACGTTCTTTCTTTATATATATATTTATATTTAGTGTCCCCCCATAGAAAAGTTCATATTCAAATATAGCAAGTACATCATGTGGAAGAGGGGTCTGTGCTAGGAAGACGGTTGGGAACGGAGGAGCGGGGACAGGGATACGACGTAAACCTGCAAAGTGACGTGACTTGGTGTCGGGGACACCACACAGGATTCCGACGGGAGCAAAAATGGAGATTTCCAAAGAGTTCTCCTCGCTGTGATGTGGCAACCACACTCCTCCCCCTCCCCCACCTGCACGTGTTGGCGCTTCTCTGCCGTCCACGCAGTCGCTGGGGGGTGACTCTGCTTGCAGAAGCTGGCAGGGAGGAGGGGCGGTGGCGGCCTCGGGAAGGGGCCTGGCTGCACCTGTGCGAGGAGGAGGGCAGTTGTCTTCCTTGCCGCCTCTGTCCGCCCAGTCCCCGGACCTCGCAGAAGTTCTCCGACTTTCAGACCATGATGGAATACTGAGGTATATAGTTTCGCGGAAAGTTTAAGAAACATAATTGATAACGTGATCATCAAACTCTGCCCGCGGGCGCAGGAGACAGGACGGCCCAGGCCTCCGGGCTCTCCTACTGCTGCAGGTTGAGCGAGAACTTCCACTGCTGAGACAGGGCGGGGCTGCACACCTCCACGCTCAGGCCCCCGTTCTTGGCCGAGCGGCTGTCCAGGCACAGATTGCTGCCCACGTGCCGCAGTTTGGAATTGCCCTCAATCTGTTCCCATTTCTGCAAGAGACAGGAGAATGCCTTATAATAGGAGCCCAAACAAAAAGGTACAGAACAGATCCATTTTCAGGGTCTTCTAGCTGCATTAAAAAGAAACCAGCTAATTTTTCTTTTTTTGGTCTCTGATCATAAAGAATGGGAATTAGCAACAGCCCAAGACAAATCAGGTGCCACTGAGGGCCCAGGAAAGAAACCTGTGTTCTCTGCCTTAGTTTGCAACTCCAAACCTCCTCTCTGGGCCCTGCTAGAGACCACCTCGCCGGCCTCATCCTTTCCCTTCTTGGGGTGCCCCTCGTCCAAGCCCCAGTGCTCTGGGCACCCGCCCTCCTCAGGCGTTCACTCAAGGACTTGATGCAGGAATTTCCTGTAGGGAATTTGCATTCATTCAAAAGGCCTGATCTGATGATATTTCACCCCAAGAATGGAGCCACAGGAGGCTGAGCCAGCTCAGAGGGCCCCAGTCCTGCCTGCGGCTGTTGGAAGGCAGCCCTGCCTGGAGGCCTTGGTCTGGGCACCTCCACACTCCCACTTCGGGCCTTACGCCCAGCTGAACCAGAGGAGGGCTGTCAGGGCAAATGAAAGGGAAAGAGATGCTGTGTGCACAGAACATCACGTTGAGGAACCTATTTCTATATGGTCTGTCTTCTCTACTAGTGTGTGAGCTCCTTGATGGGTGTGAGAAGCTTGTCTCAGCTACGCTCGAGTCTCCCAGTGCTCTGCACGGCAGGGACCAAGCAGTATTTGCTGAGTTCTGAACGTGCCACTTGCAAAGTACAGGGTATAATGCCTTCCTTTTAAAGTGTGTGCACACACAATCCCCTAAAACCAAACCAACCAACCAGCCAGACTCAACCCGCCAACCCACCCACCAATCTGCCAAGTCAGAAAACTGAGCCCACAACCCAGCCTGCAGGGAAGCTGAGGGCTCTCACCCTGCTGTTCATCCCCGTGTAAAAACCTCTGATGTCTGGGGTGTTTTTTTAAGGTAACACACTTTTTCTCCCAAAAGCTCTCCCTTCATTAAAGTAGTCTGTGATTCCTTTTTGTTGTTTTGTTTTGTGAGGAAGATCAGCCCTGAGCTAACATCCATGCTAATCCTTCTCTTTTTGCTGAGGAAGACCGGCTCTGAGCTAACATCTATTGCCAATCCTCCTCCTTTTTTTCCCCAAAGCCCCAGTAGATAGTTGTATGTCATAGCTGCACATCCTTCTAGTTACTGTATGTGGGACGCGGCCTCAGCATGGCCGGGGAAGCGGTGCGTCGGTGCGCGTCCGGGATCCGAACCCCGGGCCGCCAGCAGCGGAGCGCGCGCACTTAACCGCTAAGCCACGGGGCCGGCCCAAGTAGTCTATGATTCTAATTAATTGTTTATACTGTGTGCACTAAAGCTCCTTTCCCTAAGTATTTTTGCAAATGCTCTGATATTGTGGAATTAAATTTTCTTACTCTTGCCTCCCTCTCCCCTCTGACTCTGCAAATGCACACATCACATGAACACACAGACATGCCTGGAAACCAAATACTCCAACTGGCAAGACAGTGCAGCGTCAAGATAAAATTAGCTAAGGAGCCTCTTCTCAAAGGGCAGATGAATGAGGCGGGGAAGGAGGCGGAGCAAGGCAGAGAGGAGCCCAGCGCCTCGGGATCCGACCTTCTGCACAAGGACCGCCGGCTGCAGGATGTTCTCGGAAGGACCCTCTGATACTTTTTCATGCCAGCCTGCTAACCTGGAGTTTTTGCTGACAGTGAAATTCCATGCCATCAGAGGAGCACTAGGGAGGCTATCGCTACCTGCCAATCATCTCCTTCGTTTCTGGCTCCCTCTTTGCTGTCAGTCATTCCTCACGCTGTTTTCCTCCACTGTCATGTCAAGTGTGTATGCGCTGGCAACATACACACTGAGTGGCCAGGAATCAGCTTGACAAAGAATGTGGAACGAACGGAATCTGATTCTGTTCTCTGGAGGGGCTCTGCCTATCACGTGTCAAAGCATCAGCTAAATGGAGGGCCTTAAAAAAAAATAACCAAAGCCCGGCTCTGTCTCTGGAAGGCAGCTCGGCCCATCTGTCTGAGAGGACTGTGGTGGGGTGGACAGATTTCTGAGACTTTGAGGCTCTTCTGAAACAGTCCCCACACCCCTCTCCTATGGGCTAAGTCTCTGGTTAACAGTCTAACAGATCTGCACGTATATACGTCACGCATCTAGAGGAGCTCACTGTTTGCAGGCCTTTTTCCATCTCAGGATGTGAGCCTTTCAGGGACGTTAGCTGTGGTTCCCAAGAACCGGGATCACAGCAGAGGCACCTGTCACCTCTCAAAATAAAGCAAGCTCTTCTTAAAGGTAACGCCTCCAAAAATTAAATCCTATTTGTGTTTTAAAAAGGTCAGGAGACCAGAGAAAGCCATCACTTTATCACTCCTTTCATCTCCAGACGTCCCTGCCCCACTACACCCCAGGGGCAAAGCTGCTTGAGCTGAGCAGGGATCGCCAGATACCAGCCTCATTGATGCCCGACGTGCAGAATTCCAGGTGATCTGGGTCCAAGGGATGGTGGTCTCCCTTATTTAACAGTCACACTTTCTCTCTAGGGTATTACAGTCATGAAATTGCGCCATCAACACAGATGAGCATCTAGGGACAGCGGGCAGGGGGCCCTGTGGAGGAAGCACCCACTGCCAAACCAGGCTGGGGTTCCACAGAGAGGGTACGAGGGCACCCAGCACGGGGCCAGGGATGGACAGATGAAAGATGGCCCTTTACAAGCATTTCCCTGACAACTGGGATCTAAGCAAGAGACCTGGTCTGGGCCTCGGTCCTCCCAGGTGATGCTGGAGAGGAGGCACTGACTCTCTGGGCCTCAGCGTCCCCTTTTGTGAAATTAGCATTGGACTAGAAGCCCACTTCTAGGCTCCTGGCTCCAGCGGGCCCTGTGCCCCAGTTTCCCTACACTGATCTATCTCATAAGGAGGGACTGTAAGAAGATGAGCCAGTGCTCCACGTGCTGGCACATGGGAAGATCCTTTTGTGGTTGCATTTCTATTTCTGACACTAACCGTTAGCCCATGGCTCAAGAAAGGGTATGCCTCCGAACTGCCACCAGGAAGTATGTCAGAGAAAACCAGCTTAAAAGGTAAAAACATATTCTGAACTGTTTGGAAAGAGTAATATTTATATACTAGAGAGTGTGTGTTGTGTATAGGGTCTCATCCATTTGAACTTTAATCATTTAGAATTTTTATAAATTTAAAAAGGAAAAAAATTTAGTGAATAAACCAAAACATGTAATTTCTCTTAAACTATCCAGTGCTGTGGGGAGGAGAATGAGAATACAATCAGAAATCAGCAGCATCAGCCCTCCGGCTTGAGAACAAATCGCCTCTCTGCAGGTCCTCCCCTGGGGGCGGGGTCTATCCTCACGCCCAGATGAGCGAGGAGAACACCTCCCTGCGAGAACACCTCCCTGCGGTGACGGTACTGGGGACCTCACTTTCTTTTCTAGTCCTCGTTTGTAGGTCAGTGTTTCACTAACTTCTCACGAATAAAGTCATACACTTTTGCTTTTTTAAACAAAGCTTTAAATCAGAGCTTTCACTCCTTCAGGCGGGCGTGCTTCCGAGTGGACCTGAGGAGGGAGTCAGCCTGGGCCACGTTCTCCGTGTGGAGTGACTGGGCGCCTGCTTGGCCGCCCTGTGCTTTCGGTGGCGCCGTGGGCCGCAGGACACTGCCTGGCACTGTCCCTCCCTGCTCTTGGGCCTGAGGGCCGTGCCTCCACACGCAGGCGGTCTGAGGGGGTGGACAGTGTTGGGTTCTGGCCATCACGCCCCGCACTCCCCAGCCTCCCGTCTTCTCTGCGGGGCTCACCGGCATCACCAAATGCTCTCAGGGCCCCCGTCCAAGTGCCTGGGCGTGACGGCGGCGACAAAGAGGCTTCTGAAGAAGAGACCACCAGCAGTGCTTACCCAGCATGCCACGGTGAGGAGGTAATGACCAGTAGGTGTTGGGAGCCCCTACGATGCTGCCCAGCCCAGAGAAGGTCCCCACGAACCTTCGCGGGAGCCGAACATACAATCACAAAATATGGCCTTTCCACTCTAGTTGGAGGGTGAGGCCCAGATATGAACAGATCAATCTAGAGGTTATGGAGAGACGTAACCCAGGACAGATGAGCCCATGGCAGAAGCAGCCCACAGGGGATAGGGGAGAGAAAGAAGGCCGTCCAGAGCTGGGCACTGGTGGGACAGACCCGCCTTCACAGCACTCACGCCCCACCCCTCTCACTAACATCGTGGTCTCACATCCATCCCAACAGGGAATTCCCTGAGCGCCCACTACACACGTGGAACTTTACAACGCATTGGGGACACCGAGGAGAGCAAGAGCCTCAGGCCACCAGGCAGCTGGACATCACTCAGACAGTGCTGCAAACAAACGTGTAAGGGCACACGGCGACCAGTGCCGCGAAGGGAACCATACCTGTCTGCTGTCGTTCTCCCGGCAGCCCTGCAGCTTTATGAGTGAGCCGGGCGCCCGGTCCACCACCGTCAGGCACAGGTCCATGTGCTTCACCGACTTCTCCTTCGTCAAGGCCCATTCCTGCAACACAAACCGGGGCTCAGAGGCAGGCCACACGCACGGCTGTGACTGCTTGCCTAAGGGCAGATCTACCACTGGGGGTGTCGGGGGAGCCTCACAACTGAGCACTGAGTGGACCTACTGATGCGCAAAAGTGCTTCGAGAACCATAGCAACTAAGACGAACAGTATTAACTATTTTAGCCCCAAAGATAAATTAGAGTGTGGTGTCCATTTTTCTGTCGTTAACTGTGAGCCGAAAACACTGCAAACTCGAGCTTGTTACCCACAAGGTGGACACTTCAGGGTCAACTTTTCCACCTCCATTATTTTGGAATGACTGCCCCGTGCAGGTGTGGTTTGGAAACAGCATTTATGAATGTGGATTGTAATGTGTGAAAATTACAAATTACATATGGCATATTTAAGCAAAATATATAGTGTGTAGCCCCAGAATTGAACATTCAGTTGATCTACTGATGCTCACAAAGTTCTGTGAGATCCCTAGGAACAGGTCTATATATTTATACACCACACAGCTAACACTGACTGGGCCTAATTTGTGCCAAGCACTATTTTAAGCCCTTTACCCAGCAGCCCCATGAGAGGCTATTATCCCCATTTCACAGATGAGAAAACTGAGCCAGACAGTGCTGAAATAACTTGCCCATGATTTTAAAAGATACACACACACACACACCTCTCTTAAGGGCTGAGACAGGGTTGAGAGCACAACCATTTATTCTGAATACTAAACAAGACCACCTCAAAGGGCAGGAAGCCGCAGAAAGGAGAAGGCGAGTGAGTGTGGCCATAGGCAGAAGGGGAGGCTGGGTGCGTGCTCTGGGTTGGGCCACAACCGGGGCAGGAGGATGAGGCTCTGACCTGTACTTGAGGACTTGACTATTTCAAAGGGATAAACACCCACTTGACTATTTCAAAGGGATAAACACCCTCAGGACCCAGAAGCAGCGAGGCCTCTCCCAACTCAGAATCCCACAGGGGCACCCTACCTACCTCTGCCCCATGCCCCTTTCTGCTACAGGCCCAGGAAAGCTGCTGCAACTCATCTGTCCGTCCGTCCATCCATCTTTCTGTCCATCCACCCAATGACTGCCCACTGCTCCCTGCAACGACGCAGGCGCTCTCACAGGGCTGGGAGCAGGCAGGGAGCAGGCAGGCAAGGCCCCGCCCTCAGGGAGCTGGCTCTCCAGGGGAGAACGGGTGACACATGAATACATGTATTACGTAACCTGAGGCACTATTAAGTGCTGTGGAGAAATTATTTTTCTATTTTCTCTTTTCAGGGGACAGAGGGAAGGGAAGGAATAAATAATCTTTTGAAGAAACCTCATTGTTCAGTACCTAAATAATATTATTTAGAACAAACAGTCTGTCATTTGGGTGTAAAACCTAAAGGTTACACACTCGCCCCCTACCCGGCCACAGGTGAGCAGAGCGTGCACAGCTCTGGGAGGAGCTGGCCCCCGGGGCAGAGACAGGCAGCGGCTGGGGGATTGGTAAAGCCCCTGCAGCCTGTGTGCAGGCTCCATCCTCTCCTATCCGGGAGTCAGACTCAGCCCAGTCCTCTCACTTCCCTCGGCTTCAATTTTCTCATCTTTAATTAATGTTTTTCAAAGTGTACACCATGAGAAATCCTATGAAAAGTTGGTTCCAGCTGAAATAAATTTGGGAAACACTAAATTTGGGCTGTGTTTCTCTCTTGCAAATTCACAAACAGTCTATTAAAGGTTCTGAAAAGTCCGAGAGTATTGGAACCTGCTTGGCCTTAGCAGAGCCCAAACTCAGGAGCACGGAGCCTGTCCCCACCTGTCCCCATCAGCGGCTTGTGGCACTGAGCTCTGCAGGGTGTTCTCTGGGAACGGCCCCACACCAGCCCCTGAGGGTCGAGTCCAACCTTCCAGGATGCTGTTGCTCCACAGCGGGTGCTTTCAAAGCACAAACAGGCGCTCAACGTCACCCGGACGTCAGGACGGCACTCAGGGCAAGGAGGTCCCAGCAGGGAGCACACCCACACCGCCTTTCATTCATGACACAGACGCTCCCGCACAGGTAAGAGCAGAGCGAGGGGTGGGACACCTCTCAGCGGAGAGGGGGTTTAGATTGTTCTTAAAAGCAGCTATTGAAAGATGTTGGAAGGTTGGCTGATACCCAGTTAAAGCTCACGTCTTAATGTTTCTAGAACCTTCTTGCTATTGTGCGCTTAATTATTTTAAAGCAGACTTTACACTGAATTCCAAAATAACTAATTCAGTCATGCAAACAACAGAGCTAGTTGCCACTTTGTTCTTCTGTTGCATTTCAATGATCTGAATTTGTAAAATAAAGTTCATAAATATTTAAGAAATGCCTTTTTGAGCTGCCACTCTTAAAAAGCATGGCCATTAATTTTCCCATTTCCTGTGTGTCTGCTGAGGTTCAGCCGAAACCAGAAACCAGATAACAAACCTCACTCTTCCAGAGCACAGGGCCCTCTTTTCAGTTAGGATATGTTATTTACCCTCTCATTTCTCATCCGTGTGGCACACTACTCAAAAGAGCAGCACTTTCCACCAGTTCAGACGGACTGACTCACGCTTGGTTTATGAGTGGAGCGCCTAGAGCCGCAGCCCGAGGCCTGGCGGCCGTCCCCTCTAGGACCGCACTCCCCACTATGGCGGCCACCAGCCACACATGGCTAGTTAAATTAATTAAAGTTAAACAGAACCAAAACTTTACTTCCTCAGTCACACTAGCCACGTTTTCAGTGCTCAGTAGCCACATGTGGCTGGTGGCTACTGTACTGGATGGTGCTGATCTAGAACATTCTTATCATCACACAAAGCACTATTGGACACTGCTGATCTAGAAAGCAGCTCTCTGGGCCTTGGCTGGTCCACGGAGGGAGGTGTCCCCAGGTATGTGGGTGAAAAACTACGCCACGTCCTTGTACCGCCTCACTGTTACCTGTTGCGTCCTTTCCCGCCAGAAAACCCTCTCTATTCAGCTGCTCATTTAGAATCACCCACCTTGGGAGCTTTCAAAAACCCTGATGCTCTCTGACCCCAGGCAAATTAAATCTGGCATTCTGGGCATTCGACTAGGCATTAGCATTTTCCAAAAGCCCTTGGGGCTACTCCTGCGTGCAGCCAGAGGAGGAGTGCTGAGAGCCAGTGGAGACCTGCTGCCCTGGACAGGCAGGGCTGTGTCCCTCGTCTAGGACGCCGAGGGCCCAGGGCAGCACCTGGCACAGCAGGTACATTTGCTGAGAAGGAAGAAAGAGCCCCGGTGTGAGAACAGTAATGGTGTCACAACAGTGAAAAGGAGAACAGGAGAGGGAGCAAAGCGCTCTGCCTGCACGATCTCGTCTGCTCTTCACGACAGCCCTGAGCTGCACACTGGGGTCTGCTTTATGCAGACATGGAGTGGAGGCTCTGTGCTGGCAAGGTCTGGGCTGGGCCACAACACAGCACTGTCACCTCTGCACACAGCTGGGAGCAGCCACCTCTAGGTGGCCTCCCACACTGTCCCAATCTACTTCCTCCCCGAAAAGGCATCCTAAGAGCAGCTCCTCAGCAGTGAGCTCCCGTGCCTATGATACGCTGACTATAATTTATTGTGCAAACCAAGGCACCCTTCAGACTAAAGGAGGGGCTATTAAAAATTACATGGGGGCCACAGGAGTAATTGGCAATGTGCTGGGAAGGCCAGGATGTACCATGTCAGCCTACCGATGGGCTTGCAGAGAGCAGTGCTCAGGGGCTCAGAGACCAACTTCCAGACAGGATCTGGGGAGCGAGAGCCACGGCCACTGGTCCTTCCTCCTGGGGGGAAGGTGGGGGTGACCACACAGGCAGTGGTAGCCTGCTGCCCAGCTGCCACCGGCTTTTGTTACCAGCTGTGAGGTGAAAGGTGCCTCTATTCCCTGAGGCCGTGCTGAGTGGGGACCAGCCAAGAATAGAGCCCAGGGTGGACTGAAGCTGGGTGCCTGAGCCACGACGACGGGGCGGGCGGTGGGGGGGATCCTTTAGGAAGAGTCAGCACACGTGCTTCTTTTAAATGCTCTACAGAGGAAGACCTCTCCTTCCCAGGAGAGCTGTTGAGATATAAAGGACTGACCCCTCTGACTTTCCTTGAATCATCAGAACACTGCAAATGTGACAGCGGGGAACCCCAGTAATCAAATGGGGAACGTGAGGCCAATCTGGAATAATAAAAAATCTGAGAATACAGACAGTGAATAATTTACCTTAGTACCTGTTTTGTGACACACACACCACAGGTAAGCGTCACCCAGCCCCATATGAATTCTCCAAATTTCTGAATTTATGCTGCGCTACCAAACCCCAAAGCACTGCCTTTCTGACTGAGGTGAAACTCAGCTTCTGGAAAATTAGATCTGTGTGATTTTGAAGTGTTCCTCGTCTTCACAAGGCTTCGCTTTTCTGAGGGTGAAATTTTAGTATTTTCATTACGGTTATGGATGGAAACAGATAAAAATGATCTCTCCCCGTACTCACTGCTTTCCCACCTCACACTGAAGCCCCAAACTGTGGGAAGAAACATCTACATGCTTAGTGTAGAAGGAACAGTCCCTGTATGGTTTTTTTCTGTCAAACCTGTACCAGAACAAGAAGGATGACAGAACCCCACAGTCTCGCATCGCCACTCAAGACGTGAGAGCCCGAGCAGGTCACGCGGGCCGCCTGGTTTCCCAGCAGTAAGTGAAAACCACATTTAATTTCAGTGCCTCAGACCAAAGGGTTGACAAGGACACAGCAACACTCCTGGTGGGAGCGCACCTTCCCTCCCTCCTTTCCCGACCCCATGAACACTGCTGGCCTCTCCATTCCCTCTGCTCTTCCCTCCTCGACTCTCTCTCCCTTCCCATCTAACTTCTGTAGGGCCTGGGACAAGAGTACAACGGGGCCCACACACCATAGGTTTAAATACTTAGAATTCCTAAGTGAAGCCGCACCGAGAGGCTGGCTGTGCGCTTACCCCAGCATCCTCGGGAGCCAGAGGATGTCCTTTAAGGACAGGTGAGCCCCTGGGAGCCCAGGGGCAGCGTGCATGTGCCGGCCAGCCCCGGACGGTAGCCCACAGCCGGGGGGGAGGGGGGGGACGGGGACCGTCCTCCCTCCCTTGCCCCTCACTTGTCTAATTTAGAGTGTCCAGGCCCTTCCAGTCAACCGCAAAAATGACACTGCCAGGTGAAGAGAGGAAGCAGAGTATTTGGGGATTGCTGCCTGGCTCGACACTCCTCGGGAGGATTTGGAACAGCCAACTTGATGCAAAAGTAAGCACCCTCTTTTAAAAATAGTTCTATTCAGAGAAGGTTCTGGGATTAATAAATCTCGGACATACAGAGTTAAATTGCCTTTTTCTTTTAACTGCAGGGCCTCTGAGAGCCGGGCACGTTTTCAACAAGGAGATAAGAGTACATAGCATTGCCCAACGTTTTTTGTGTACGAGGCCCACATTTACCAAATACCTATTATTATCTCGTGGGGAAAGCTGCCTTCTGGAACACTGTCCTTCTGGAACACACAGGTCACAGTTAGGCCTATCAAGCATTCACTTCTTTCTCTCCTTTCAATGATGACAGAAGCTGGTGGGTTTTTATGCCTCTAGGAAAAGCTTGTGTGTGTGTCAAACTCAAGCAAGTAATTATTAATATTTTATATCTCAGCTATTATTATCTTAACAGGCAGGGAGCAATAATGACTTTAGCAGCAGCCGCAGTGATGGGGTTACACACCTGTGAAGTAGGGACACAGGCAGGTGTTCACAAACACGTTCAGGGACCAGACGCAGACACAGGACAGGCACTTCGGGGATGCACACACACCACAGGGAGGACAGAGGTGGCAGGAAGATGAGGAGGAGGAAAAGACTAAGGCCAACAGTGCCGCAGCTATGCCTTGACAATGGATGTCGACGTCCATGCTAACCAGCGTGCCCCTTGCCGCTGTAGCAGAGCCCAGCCCAAGGCTGAGGACAGGCTCCACACGTCAGTCAGGATCTGGGCCATCCCATCTGTTCCCGAGGCTGGCTGCAGGAGGGTGCCAGCAGGAGCCAGGCTGTCCTCACAGACATCTCGGACCACAGAGGGAAGAAGGCAGCAGGACCCTGGGCCTCCCTGTGCTCCAGTTCACCCCACGCACATACCTGGTTCCCCCCAGCATTGTGGCACTCATAAACTCCAACAACGCCATCAGCAAAGTGTCCCAAAGTGTCCAGGCAGTTGGTTCCCTGCTGCAAGGCCCCAAAAGCTATATCCTGATGGTCAGGAACCCTGGAAAACAACACGAGAATCGCCTGCCTAACTGCGCAGGACCACCAGCTCCCGTCACCCAGCCCTTGCCTCAGTGACTTCATCTCAGGCAGCGGGGACAACGAGAGAAAGGCCGTTACCAGGCACCACACCCTCCCCACAGGCAGGGCCGTGGCAGCGAGACAGCATTTCTCCGAGTGTCTAGATTTCGAACCCGAATTGAAGATTTTATGCTGGAGAAATATTCTTTCTTCCCCATGAGGAAAATTTTTCTGGACAGGAAAGGCTCCTACTCTCTTCAATGTCAATCTGTTGGAAGTCATGTAGGAAAGCAATTAATGTGGTCAGATCCTGTTGCCTGGAACTTTCCAGTAGACTTAGAATTTGACCTTTACCTCGTAGAGGCAAGAACCTTGGTGGATTAATCGGGTGGCCTGATACAATCAAAGCAAGAGAGCACAGGCAGGGCAGCATGCTTCAGGATCAGAGCTGAATCTGACCCTGCCTTTGCCACGTGCCAGGTGTGGGATCTTTCAGACACGCGCTCTCTCTAAACCTCAGTGCCCTTTTCTGCACAGTACCTCCCAAACAGGTCTGCTGCAAGCATCACACAAAACATTTCATTTGAAGCATTTAGCCCAGAGCCTGGCCCTCAGGAAACACTCAGCAAACAGCCGTGATTATTCCTGACACAGCACAGATACTAAGATGGTGTCTGCCTTGCCCTCACGGACAGGGAGGCAGATTCACCCGCTGGCGTCGGGCTGAATGCTTCAGATGTGGTCTTAATGGGTGCAGGGCCCAACGTCACCTCAAATCGTGGGTGACCCCAGGGTGAAACTACCCCAAGTCACAGGCAAAACAAAGGGCAAGATTGTGGGGCTATCACCCACTGCTGTGAAGCCCTGATCAGCTGGGGAGAGACGGTGAGCAGGGGCTTCCTACTGGTGAGCACCACTGTTCTCAATCCCCAGCAAACGCCGTCCTCACAGAGGGGATCGAGGGAGGAGAATGTGCTGTTCTTCCTTCCCCCTCCTGCGGGGCGCAGGTGGCACCGTGTCTTCCGTTACTTTACAAGCAGAGGAAACACTTCCAAAGGACGAGGTAAGCGAACAGCAGCACGAGGTGAGGCCGCTTTACCTAATTCAACCAAATCTCCCTGACAAGGGCTCTGAAGGAGCCGTGAGCTTTTACGAAAGATAATGGCGGTGACTCCTGCATTCGCAGTCACTGAGTTGGAGATATGAGACTCGCTGTAAAATGCCCTGGGAATATTCAGAATAAAGAATGTGCCACATTAAGGCAGAAGCTGTCTGGCAATCCCTTTAAGAAGATGAAGTTCAGAGGGATCCTGAAGCCCTGCAGACCTACAGGTCCTCTGGTGAGGGCAGCAGGGCTCCCGGAGGACGCAGAGCTGCATTAATTTAAGATGAAAGGCCAGGTGTAGAGAGAAGGCTCAGAAGAGTATTTCTGCCATCGTTAATCCTCCTGGAGGGAAGCAGGATGCCAGCACTATCATTCCCACTTTACAGTGGTACAAACCAGCCTGGAGGAGAGAGGCACCGTGGGCGGTTCCCCGAGCCTTGGCTGGTGCCGTTATCCGCTGACCCACAGGACAGACGAGCAGAAGCAAAGAGGGAAGTGATGAGTTCAATCAGTCTTCAGCCTCTGCCCCCTCAGTACTGGCCCTCTGCTCCCAACACTCACTAACTAGGACAAGAGGAGCAAGGAGGGTGAGGCCACAGAAGCCAAAACAGGGGCCGCTGGGCAGGGAGGGACCAACGGCGGACAGCACAGAGCACACAACTAGGGAGGCTGCAAACTGCTCCTCCGGCCACTTACAGAGCTGGTCAGACAACAGTGCTCGGGGTCATCTAGCCCCTGTCATCCTACCACTGGGGAACAAGCTAAATGAGGTGACACCTTGGGATTGTTCCCAAGTCTATGAAGAATGGGAGGGTAACTCAGCAGGAGAGAGAGCAGGAGACCACAACTGAGGGAGCACATTCTTGGGGATGCTTGGGGACAGCTGTGGGCGAGGACATGTAGCTCTCACAACCTTCGCTCCACCTCTGGAGGCCTCTCCATCTTGCTGACGCTGGTTGTTTCTAGGCCCTTAACAAAATGAAACCCTCAGGTCCCTGGGGCTTACCTTAATTCTGGATAGACATTTTCAAGGTACCATTTGAAAGGCTTGCAGCTAAGTTTCTTCCTAAGCTCCAATCGGCTCTGGATACTGGAGAGAGGGAAACGACATTCCTTTACAAATTTTAAGAATGGATGGGCTATCTACATCAAACTTGGAGACCTGCTGACGAGAACAGGGTTGGGCGGGTGGCGGAGCCTGGACTGTCTACACTCCCGTCCCTGTGACCCCGCCTCACCTTCCACACACCTCCCACTGCAGGTCCTCACCCAGCCTTGAGCAGACGCCCCCGTGTCGCCTGGGCGGCTGTTCTCAATTCTGGCCACAGAATGGTTCTTGGGGTGCGCCCCCTGCAAGGATCCTAAGCAAAGCAGCATGAGAGGGCACAAGTGACACTCACTTTCCATAAGGAACATTTCTGGCAGAAGGCACTGCTGCGTAATAGAAATTTTTGTATTCATCCATCCAGACCTCTGCTGCCCGGCGGGTGTTCCTAGAAACAAAATAAATCTCCTTGAGCTGTGATTTGCTTTCTTTCCATCAGCATCACCCCGTTTGCACTTGTCTGCTTGCAGTGCTCTTAGGCAGGTCCTTCTAGGTGGGCTGGCAGCTTCGGCAGTGACGCAGAGAGCAGGCTGTCCCCACTCAGCAGCCAGGGCTGTGTCTGCAGGCAGCAGGCCCTCAGCGGGTGCTTGCTGAACAAACAGCTCGCTTTCTCATCTTTCATAGAACACAGGTCATCGAAGAGCACAAGTCAGAGTCAGAATTACAGCACAGGCAGGTATTTTAAAGAAGGGACTGGAGTTGTACGATCAAGAAGGACAAAAGAGAATTACTCTGCAATAACTCGTGTATGTATCCACAGAAGGCTGGTACAGCGAGCACAGCCGAGGAATCCTGGGCCTCTATGGCCTGTCTCCTCATAGCTGTAATAAGACTTAACAGCTCTTGGAAAAAGTTAAGAACGGATAAGAGTTACTATTAAGATGACTTTCTTTTCTGCAGACCTGAGTTGAGAGGGTCCTGTTTGGATAAGGAATAGTGATGTGAAGGGGACAGTAGCTTTGTGCCCCACACCTGGGGTTCCTACCACACTGTGCTGGAGGAGCACAGACAGAACAGGCTTTTCTGGAAGGCAAGAAAACCATGTGCTGAAATCTGGCAATCATGGAGAGAACCTGATTCACGATCAATGAGGCCCCTGGAACACCTACTTGTGAATGTACGACACGCACTGAAGGCTGCCACACACACAGGCCTCAGCTCCGTATCCTGCCAACATTCTTCTTAAACCACTTACCAAGCAGCGTTCATACAGTGCACCTCTGTCTCCCATGTCCCGGACTCGGTTCAAAAGAGGCTCACACCTTAGGCTTAGAGCCGATCCTCCTTAAGAACCTATATATCTTCCAAAATAAATATATTAAGGAGGCAACGTTCGCCTTTTAAAATAGTTCCTCTTCTTCGCCAGAAATGTCTCTTTTAAATGGTGAGCCTTTCAAATTATCTGAGCTACAGTTATTAAAATAATTTCTGTTTGGGGCATATATCTTTCACATAAAGTGATGTATATACCCTTTTTCTTTTCATGAAGTGGAAGATGGACTGTTGTTTAGAATGTCATTTAAGAGACAGACAAGACAATATGAATGTACCCATCCTCTGCTCTAGCAGTTCCACTCTAGAAATTTACCTCAAGGAAATAATCAACTAGGAATGAAAACATATAGTGAAAGCATTGTTTATAAGAGCAAAAATTAGAAACTATATGACCATCAACAGGGAAGTCGATCACATAAATAGACTACTCCTATGGTCATTAAAAATCCTGGTCTCCATCTTACATGTTGCCGTGGAATGACGTCCTTCATTGTTGGGTGAAAATAAAATAGATTCCAGAACAACACATAGCAGATATGTGTGTGGAGGCAGAAGAGGGGAGGGGGAGGATGGGGAGAGAGGAAGGGAGGGAGGGGCAGGGGGAGAGATTGAAAGATGGATTCACCAAAACAGGAGAGTGCTATCTTGGACCATGAGATTGATGATCTTTTACTTTCTCTGTAAAAAGAAAATACATAGATATGACCACTCGAGTATTTAAAGTGCCGGGGATACTGGATCGTAAGTATTATTTCTCAGAAGAGCCATTCAATATTCTAACAGAGATTTTAGTGTCTTGCTACACGGCCCAGGCAATCTCCTCACTGGCTGTGCGACTCCAGTCCTCTGGGGGACTCAGATTCCCCATCAGTAAAATGAAAGGATGTGACCCAAGGGTCTCCTAGGTCCCTTTCAGCCCTAATGGTTTAAAGGTTTTATGAATTTCAATCACAGAGTGGTTTTAAATTACCTAAGTCATTAAAGGATTAAGTCATTTCTTAATTCCTAAATGCAAAGCAACTTTTCTTCTGTCTAGTTAATAGAAAAAAGATATGTACATAAGTGGCCTCAAAGAATAAGCTGCCTGTGCTACTCAGTGCTCAGTTCCAACTCATTCATTCAAACATTTATTAGGAACACACCATATGGCAAACAGTCTTCTAGCTGCTACAGAGTTAGCGGCCCCCAGAGAGGTCCAAGGTCTACTCTCACACCCAGGTGCTCCTTGTCTTTACCTCCACCTCCCTACCCACCCCAACCCCCACCACACACTCAGTGAAGATAAAGTAGCTCCATCAGGAAGCAGGCAGGAGAGAGAAGGTGTAATTCAAACTGGCTAGTTATACTGCTTGGTGGTGATAACAGAAAAAAGTTTGATAAGAAAATAAGTTTAAACCATTGGTTTCCTGTATTTAGCTTATTCGTATTATCCCTCACTGATATACCTGAAGTTTCACCATTACCTGCTAAGCCTAAACCCAATACCCACCCGTGGGATCCACCCCCCACCCCGCCCCCGCCCCCCCCCCCACTCTTCTGCCTGGGACTTGCCCTGGCCTTTGGGTAAACTCTAATCTACATGTGCACTCAAGCACACACAGCACCCTCCAAACAGTCTCTCGAGAGGCTTTTAAGAAGCTAACTGGACACATAGCTGTGCAAAAAAAATGGAAGGGACCGCCCCAATGTTCACTCTCAGCCGATCTTAAGGGATGTGGCTGCCACAACCAAAGATATGATGCCAGAATTTGCAGGTGTGTCATCACCGTAGTCTTTCTAAAGTAACAGGTGCCTACGTGGTACACGGGGTGGCAAAACGAGGCAGGACCCCACACAGGGTACTTGTTCCATCCCTTCACTGGCCATTTACTCACTCACTCACTCATTCACTGACAGACTAACGTACATAAATAAGATAATCTTCTATATGCTATTCTAGAACCTGTTTTAGAATCTGCATCTCATTCCTGAATCTCAGCAACCTCAGGCACTAACTGCACTTAGGGATCTAGATAAAAAGACCAACATGTGGAGCCAGCCCTGATGGCCTAGTGGTTCAAGTTCGGTGCTCACCGCTTTGGCGGCCAGGGTTCACTTTCCAGTCACAGAACCACACCACCCATCTGTCAGTTGCCATGATGTGGTGGCCGCTCACATAAAAAGGACTAGAATGACTTACAGCTGGGATATACAACCATGCACTAGGGCTTTGGTGGGTGGGGGGAAAAAAAAGGAAGACTGGCAACAGATGTTAGCTTAGGGCAAATCTTTCCCTGCAAAAAAAAAAAAAAAAAAGATCAATGTGTGTGTGGTACTGACATGGACTCTGGAGCCACATTGCCCAAAGTGAAAACCAGCTCTATCACTTTCCAGCTGTGTGAACTTGGACAAAGGAACCAAACTATTCTTTGCCTCCATTTCCCTCATCCCTCAAATGAGGATTAATAATAGTATCTAATTCATAAGGTTTTACGAGAATTACGTAAGTTATTATTTGTGAAGTACTTAGAAGAGCCTAGCACACACAATACACTCTAAATATTAGCTATTGTTGGTAAGTCCCAATTTTTAGATGGTAAAATACTTATACATTTAACGCCACATATTAGAGGAAATTAAAGAGAACTTGGAACTGAAAAGGGACCTCAGAAATAATCTAATTCCACCTCTTTATCTTTTCAGATGAGTCAACTGAAGACAGAGGGCAGTGGAGGGCCTTGCTGAGGTCTAAGATCTATGCTGCCCCAAACACAGAAACCCTGGGTCAGTCTTCACTCCAGATCTCTAGGACACAGACTCCTTGGCTGTAAAATACAATGAAAAAGTTTCCCTTCTAAAAAAGAGCACTTTAAAATAAAGTGTATAAAGCAATGTCTTGTGTATTTTTTGTGTGTGTGTGAGGAAGATTAGCCCTGAGCTAACATCCATTGCCAGTCCTCCTCTTTTTGCTGAGGAAGATTGGCCCTGGGCTAACATCCGTGCCCATCTTCCTCTACTTTATATGTGGGACACCTCCCACAGCATGGCTTGATGAGCAGTGCATAGGTCTGCGCCCGGGATCCGAACCTGCGAACCCTGGGCCGCCGAAGTGGAGCATGTGAACGTAACCACTACACCACCAGGTCGGCCCCAGCAATGTCTTGTGTATTTTAACAGACTATTTTCTGAAATCCCACTGCTTGCTGGTAGACGTCACTGGCTTTGACTTAGGGTGTTTCATGGGTCTATGCAAGAGGTTCCTGGACAGAATCTCATATTGCTACATGGAAAAAATGTACATATCTTGTTTGATTTTGTGGATTCTACTGGATAAGACCGTATTTTTGGTTCTAATAGAGAGCAAAAATGAAATTTAGACAACAATTGTGAAAGGATATACTTTTTGAGAAAAGGTAATTTGGTCAGAAGCATTATTTGATATTTGGCTTCTATTAAAGTTTCCTAGAACTCAGATTCCCTATGTTAAAAGTTCAGCTTCTAGGGGCCGGCCCGGTGGTGCAAGCAGGTAAGTGCGCGCGCTCCGCTGCGGTGGCCCAGGGTTTGCCGGTTCAGATCCCGGGCATGCACCAATGCGCCGCTTGTCAAGCCATGCTGTGGCAGTGTCCCATATAAAGTAGAGGAAGATGGGCATGGATGTTAGCCCAGGGCCAGTCTTCCTCAGTAAAAAAAGAGGAGGATTGGCAGATGTTAGCTCAGGGCCGATCTTCCTCACAAAAAAAAGAATTCAGCTTCTAATACACGTGTATTGTGTAATCTGTACCTATAAAGATTAAAATACTATATAAAAGACATACTAGTCATCCCCCCTCCCCTAGACCACCCCCACTCGACTCTAAAGCTTTCTTATTTTAGCAGAGGCACCACATCAGCAAACTGTGTGACCAAGAGCCTGCGTGTCACCCTCAATCCCTTGTTCTTCCTCTCCTGTCCTGGCCAGTCCATTAGCAAACAATGCCTGCCCAAGGATGTAGCTGGAACCTGCCTGCATCGTCCTGGCCACGACCCTGGCCCAGGCCACTCATCTCTTGCCTGCGCCTCTGTGACAGCTCTCAGAAGTCCCCCACCCCTGATCCTGCAGTGGAGGCGAGGGACACACACCATCATTTCATCCTGGTGTCACCTCCTCACCACCCTCTGCCCACTGGCCAGGAGGCCCTCTCTAAAGCTTAAAACAGAGAAGTCAGGTACCTGCTTAAAACCCATAATAGCACCCCCTGCATTGAAACTACATCCCAAGTTTCCCAAGACCTACAGGGGAAGGGCTCATGACTGAGCCCGCCTAGCTCTCCGACCCTGTCTGCAGTCCTCTTGTCCTCCGGCCTCATGTCATACTTGGCGTCCTTCTGTTCTGTAGACGTGTGAAACTCACCCTCATCTCAGCGCCGAGGACCTGCTCCTCCCGCAGGAGCGCTGCTCCCCGGGAGTCGCACGGAACCTGCTTCCCACCTTGCAGGTCTGACACAAGCACCACCTCCTCAGAGGGTCCCTTTGTGTGCATGCCACTCTGCGAACTCCTCTTCCTCCTGGCCCTGTCATGCTCGACCACATGACCACGTTTTATCTTTCCACAGCATTTATCAGTGTTTGAAATAACCTTATTTAGCTGCACCTATGTTGGGCTGACTAATTCCATCTCCCTGAGGCCTGGCTGGCTGGCTTGTACACTATTCATCTTTAGCATCTAAAAGAATTCTCTAGGAAAAAATGTGGTCCCACGGACTGGTAATTTGCTATTTTTCTTCAAAAAGCTCTTCATCTGGCATCTTCATGTTTGCTAAAATATAGTTATTATCTATCATGAATCATATCTATATATTGTGATGTCTTTTGGGCTTGAATTTAGTATGGCTTGACTTTAATACTGTTCATATATTATACCTTAAATGGTAATCTGTAATAAAAAAGTCTTAAGTTCCTCTTCTTTAAAATAGTATTTTCACGTAACATTTTTTGGGTGTACAGTTCCGAGCATTCACATATGCACAGATTTGTGCGCCAACCACATCAGGACACATCACCCCCCAAACTCCCCTTGTGCACCCCCTTCGCAGTCACACTCTCCTCACCCCAATCCCTGGTAACCACTAGTCTGTTTTCTATCACTATAGTTGTATCTTTCTGAGACTGTCCTATAAGTGGAACCGACAATATGTCACCTTTTGAGACCAGCATCTCTCACTCAGCATAATGCTCGTGAGGGGCACCCAAGTTGCTGTGCATATCAACAGTTGTTCCTTGTCATTGCTGAGTGGTGTCCCACTGAAGGATGTCTGTATCCATACAGCCTAAGCTCAACTCCTGTCTGGGTGGCAGTCAGCCATGTTCTGGTCCCTGTTCAGCCGCTCAACCACCTACCGGGCAAAGACAGTGCCGCTGCCACCAGGGAAAGTATATGGGTGCTGCTTCCGGAACACATGTCCCACGCGGCTGCAGGGGATGATCTCCAGGCTGCCACCGCACTGCCACACGCGGAATGAGATCTCTGAGGTGACAAATGAGACAGGGTGACTGACAGAACCTGGGGCTGCTCTGAACAGCAGCTGCCACAAACGGTGCAGACGCCCACCCACCACGATCCCATCAATGCGGCGTCCTGCGCCCTTAGCTGCTGAAGGAGACGTGAATAAGGCACGTCTTTCCAGAACACGGTCCTGAACTCTCCACCGTGGACACGGCTGATACCCTGGATCTCTAGGCTTCATGACACAATCAAGAAAGTATGTCTTATATGGATGTGTTATATAATTAGTTTGACTTCAGTGAATATTTCACAGTGGATATGTACATCACATCAAGTTGTACACCTCAAATAGATACAACTTTAAATCGTCAATTATACCTCAATAAAGCTGGAGAAAAAAAAAAGATTGAATGAAGGATCATACTTCAGTTCACTAAGAGGGTGTCTCCACAGCCCAGAGAGTTCTTTTACAGACAACATAAAGTGGTGTGGACAAAAAGAATAATCCATACCAAACAGACTACCCACACTAGGACATTTACTGTCTTAGATTTTTAGCACTGATCAGAATTATGGAAGCCAACTATATCTGTATCACCAAATCTCACGTTTTCATTAAAGAATTCTATTCCAAATTAAAAAGAAAGTAAGAAGGAGCATGTGGAAACATTTTTCAGATTCAGACTGGAAGCCTTGAGACAAGAGTGATTCTTCGGTCTATTTTGAATATAAATGATGCCTGGTGTTAAGGCCATGCATATGGCTGTACCGTCACAAGTATCGACTCACGCAATGCTTGCACTGAATCCTTCACTAGCTGGTTCACCGTCATGGACTATTCCACTTGCACTTGCTTAGTATCAACAGTTAGAAACTGAACGTGTAAAAGCATCCATGAATCAAAAGGCATGAAATGCCCACAATTAAGCTTGAAGGTGGATATAACAGGAAACCGTCCTTCCAGGAAACCATATATGCTGTCTTCCTCTAAAACTCACTTTAAATGCACTGAGTACCAATATGCATCGGTCTTTTTCCATCCAGGAAAATAATCTCTTCCCTTCAATTTCACACATTACGTTTGTCCTTGTGCATTAGCAGGCATCAAGCCGCCTGGCAAAGTTCACAGGTGCCTACGGATCATGGTAGTGACCAAGGACACTTGAGTAACTGACAGGTAGGTACCTCACAGCTGTCCACAGACTCTCACCAGTCAGTAACCAGCTGGCCCTGGTGAAGGCTACTCTTCACCTGCTTCCCATGGAATCCACCTGTGGGAGGAATGAGGCATGCGGGGCAGGCACGGCTCATGCCACCTTACACATGCCCCCTGCCCTGAGCAGTGGCACACGGGAGAAGCTCGCACACGGCGGACTTTCCGGACACACAGGCACCTGTCCTAATTGCCACCCATCCTGAGCGACTGTATGCAGAGGTCCTACTGAATGCAAGAAACTGAGGTTAAACAGAAAAATCAAGGTATAATAAAGGTTCAAGATTTTTTTCTGAAAGACTTCATGAGGTTTGTATAAAAGGCTTTCCTCTACATCATTCTGCACCCTAAGAACACGTAGGGAGGCAAGACAGAATGTACAGAATTAGCAGTCGCTGCCACCAATGCAGAACGATCAGAAACAAGGTAGGATTACTGCAGACCATGAAGCCAGCTGCTGCGTAAACCCTCTAGACATGGCCTCCTGGGGCAGCAGGCACCCAGACAGCATAGCTGAAAGCACGTAACACCCACTCGGGGCAGAACAGCATGAGCTTCTACTCGAATCTGGCAAACTAAAGCAGTTGCAGACCCCGCCCTCACTAAGGATGAGTGACACACACAGCTGTAGGGACTTTTTAATAACCAATTCCCTTGGAGTATTAGAAAAACGTATGGTCACAACCATCCAAGCCTATCCAGTGAAAGGTTTCTGATTTTCCTTCTCACGGTGTCCAACGCAACTCTGAATAAGAAGTTCTCTGTATTTAAGTAAAAATGTATATTTAAATATATATTTGCCTAACCGGAAATCTCAAAATCGGGACTTGGAAGGGCCCCTGGCTTCCAGAGAGGGAGTCTGTTAAACCAGTAAGGGATCTGTTCAGAGATCTACTGGGAGATTCTTAAAGCCAAGTACAACTACAGTTATATTCAACTCTGATCTGCCTGAGCCCTCCAGTGGGAGATGATCACTCAAGATGACTCAGTGGCTTTTTGAGAGGCAGTTTGTGTTTGCATCTCAGCTCCGCTAACAACCAGCTCTGAGACCTGAGGCGACACCTCAGTCCTCCAAGAAAGCACGAAATGAGATGATGCAAGGGGAGCATTTGCATCAGTCCTAATGCTGTGGGGACACGCAGAAAAGGACAACTAATTATCCCATGCGGCCTAACCCCTACATCTAATCACAGGGGCTGGGGATCAGGTTCCGACCTCCTCTTTAATTGCTTACATTAGACTTCCACCATTAGCTAGGAAAACCGGAAGCTCCATTGGTTGTGGTGGGGCGCACCTGGAGGAGCTCCTTGAGATTCTCTCAGGTGTCCTACCCCCCACCTCTCCCAACACACACCCGCACAAGCCAGGCTGGACAGCCGCTGGGGGTGTGTACACAGCACCCAGAAAAAGAAGTTAGAGCAGCGCGAAGAAGAAAGACTCACGTGGAGAGCTCTCCTTGCTGAAACCCTGTGCCTGGCTAACCTCTGAAGAGAGAAGAGGACCCTCGAGAGTGGCCTTATCAGAGCCAGTCAGGGAAGGGGAGATGCCACCCGCGCCCAGGCAGGGTGGGCTCAGCCCTTCCTCCTCGTCCTCTCACCTGAGTCCCCTCCTCAAGCCTTTCATGGCACCTCGCATAAAGCACAGCTACATAAACATAAAAACCAAACCAACAATAAACGAGGCAACTAAAAGAAATTCTCCCCCCTCCCTCTGGTCTCTGGGTGAAATGTCTCTTTTGATATTTAAATCAACGCTCTTTCTACACTATGACACAAAAGGCTGGGCGCCCTGTGGTCGCCTAATCTGGGCTTTCAGCGAATAGTACACACTTCTGAAAACCACACCGTGTTTTCGGGAAACGGTCACCTAAGTACTGTCCTCCTGGGTGGTCCTGGCTGGCTGCATTTCCACCAAGCCATCAGGAGAAGCCTGTGAAGCGAGGGTGACTCAGAATTCCCTTCAGAAGGTTAACAATTCCTCTGAAGCATTTTGAGCTCAAGTGATTTCAATCCAAGTCCTGCCTACCTGTCAATGTATCATTAAAAAGAAAACCAAAAGGAGTCTGACTCATGGTCGTTCGTCTTAATGTAGTTATTGAAACTTTTAACATCAAATCAAAGTGAAGAAATCCTCAGCAGACGAGATGGTATCACTAACTTTAACATAAAACAAGAGAAAAATTATAGGTATTCTAGTCTTTCCTTTTTTTTTGTGAGGAAGATCTGCCCTGAGCTAACATCTAATGCCAATCCTCCTCTTTTTGCCGAGAAGACTGGTCCTGGGCTAACATCCGCGCCCATCTTCCTCTACTTTATATGGGACGCTGCCACAGCATGGCTTGACAAGCGGTGCGTCGGTGTGCGCCCCCGGGATCCAAACCTGGGGACCCTGGGCCACCGCAGTGGAGCGCGCGCACTTAACCACTACACCACCGGGCCAGCCCCTCTAGTCTTTTCTTTTAGCCAAACAAAAACCATCAAAGTCTCTGTTACATGTAAAAACTACTAAAAATGAGAGTGACATCCTTTTTTTTTCTCCTTTTCCTTGCCCCTCTTCCTCCCTGGGGTACGCCCAAGTGTGATGTAATTTAACAGCATTCAATAGCAAAGTGGCTCAAAACCCCAAGCACTTAAAGGCTTCAAGTGAAACAAACAAAAAAACCCTAAACAAACAAAGAAAACAAAAGAAGAGTCTTTTTATCTTTATACAGTAAACGTGATGCAGCTACCAATATAGACCAAAATCTACAAAATTTCACTGTCCCTAAACCTGGGTAAAAATGATTTGCATGGGCTATTTAAAAAAAAAAAAAAATCAAACCAAATTAGAAACATTCACAAAGTGGTCAAGAACGGATTAAATGCTGAGGCCTCTCCACCCATCTGATTTCCATGATTACAATTCAGTCAATCGCCAGAGCTCATTTCCCACTCTACATGGCTAAAAATGAATCCTGAGCCTGAAACGTTTCCCCCATCTTTGAATGCTTGCTTTCCAAACCCCTGGATTCAAATGACACTAAAGAGTTTGCATTTTCGAAACTTCAAGGACATTTTCTGTATCTAGCATCCTGCATTCTTAGGGTGACATATTCTTTTTTTTTTTTTTTTTTTTTTTTTTTTTTTTTATTTTTCCCCCAAAGTCCCAGTAGATAGTTGTATGTCATAGCTGTACATCCTTCTAGTTGCTGTATGTGGGATGCGGCCTCAGCATGGCCGGAGCAGCAGTGCGTCAGTGTGCGCCCGGGATCCGAACCCGGGGCACCGGCAGCGGAGCGCGCGCACTTAACCGCTAAGCCACAGGGCCGGTCCAGGGTGACATATTCTAATACCCAACCCAAGACACTTGTAAGAGTGAAAAGAGTGCTATTTATACTGATATGGCAGCTAATTATGCCCAATGAACTCTAACATCTTTAAAAATTTTTTCCAATTGGCACTGTGTATACCACAAACTCTTGCCTAACAGTCTCTTCAAAGCTCCCATTTTTCATTTCTATCCCTTTTGGTGGGCAGGAAAAGACCATTATTTCACCAGAATTGGAAACTTTTGGTGTCTGAAGACACGGACTCATACGTACCCAGGTTTTCTCCTCCCCACACATCCATCATCATGTCATATTTCCCCAGTTCTTCAAAATAGAACTTATCCATCACGAACAACCCGCCGGCAATCATGGGGGTTCTAAAGAGGCAGAGAGGGTGGGAGGGAAGAGGTCAAAGGTCAAGGTTAGATCACCAGCATTCTTACATCAAGGTCAACCCTACAAGCTGACCTTAAAAATAACCACACAGCATCATTTCTTGCTCAGAATTCTGGGTGCCCCTCTCTCTGCTTTACCACTGCTGTCTTTGAATGCCTCCCCCACTTCCCTGCTCAGACGCTCCCACGGTGCAAGGGGCTGGACTGCGTCTCTCCTTCAAGACGGTAACTGCTGGAAACCCTCACTGACAAGCGACCCTAGGCAGTACTCAGTCTTTCTGTGCCTCAGCTTCCTTAGAGGATTACAAAAAATTACATGCATGAAGCACTCAGTACACTTAGGAAATGCTCAACAACATCAGCTGTCCTTAGCATTATCACCATCATGGAGAAGGTCCCTCCTGTCAGGCGGACCCACCATTGTTGTCGTTTCCTCATCAGCACGGGAAGGGTCAACAGGACGCTCACTGAGCCCCTACTTCCTTCCCAGTAGAGATGCTGGGGGACTTCCATGTCAGGTGCTGGAAAAGTCTAGGGCACACTGCAGATGCTGGATAAGCGCTAGCGAGTGTATTTCATGTGGAAGTCTGCAGCTGTGCTCTCACTTAACTGCGTGTCCACCCTGAAGAGCACCCCACATTCGTGCCTGGCCAGAGGCGCAGCCTGACTCCTGGCATGCATCCCACGCACGGCCTGGGAACCCTGAAGCCAGGTGTTAATGGATATGAGCTGCCTCCTCTGTGAGCAAACAGGGGAGCAAGATCTGCTGAGGCAGGGCAGCTGCCCAGGAAGGGCAGCAGCAGAGTGGCCTCATGCTGGCCCCTCATGGAGGGGGCCCACTGCTCCTCCCTAGCCCCTGAGGTCAACGTGGAGACCCCATCCTGCTGTGGAAAACACTCCATAACGTAAACACGAAGGAACACAGAGAACGGCAGACCTGCTTTATATATATGTTAGACTTCATCTGAGGAAAAGAAATCGCAGAGTCCTTTATTCTATGATGTAGTGGCAGGTACTCCCCCTTGAGCTAAGACAGGAGAAACGGAGGTGCAGGAAGGGGGCAGAGGGTGCAGAGCCCGACCTGGTCTCTAGGGGACGGGAGGCCAAAGCTGGGGTCTTACCTGCGAGGGGCCCCCCACTGGAGGCCTGGCACTTACTTTATGGGGGCGACCGGGTTCCCCTGCCGGGATCTCCTCTGCTCAGGTGTCATGTAATCCCACTTAAACACCAAGTTCCAGTCAAAACCTGCCGGGCACAGACAAGAAACACAGAGCTGACAAGCAGCAGCTGGTTGTTCCCGGCACCGCATCCCTCACAGCTTAAAAATATTTGATATCTGGAAGGGACTCACTGAAGACCAAAAAGGAAAAAAAAAAAAAAAAACAAAACATCCTAAAGATGAGGAAGGGAGAGAGCGACGAGGGGTGGAGCCGGGGCTGGGAGACCAGTGAGGAGGGAGCACACTGAGAACTCTTCCCAAAAGTTTACCCGACACAGAAGATGTGGCTCAGGCTTGTCTAATTAAAATGTGTAAGGATAAATGAAATGGGAAGAGAAGTGGGGTCTGTGTGTGATACCACTGCATATCCAAGGGCTGTAGGAAGGCGAGAAAAAAGAGTGACTGGGCTAAAAGAAACCTGCCACTGTGCCTCCAGCACTGTCCCAGAGCAAGGGAACGGGGAAGGGACAGGATCACGGGTTTGCTGGGCCTGCGCCTGTGAACTCGATCTCTTCACTGTCTCTTGATGGCAACTGAACCATGTTCGGGCAAGAATGGTGTGGGGCGAGGTGGGAGAGGAAAAACCTTTAGATGAAAATGAGCCAAAAGAAGTAGCAAAGTGGGTAAGCCAGCTTTAATTTCTGACAAATCTGGCACTTGTCCCGGTTCACTTCTAGAATCCACAGGCTGCTGAGGATGGCAGGGCCTGGTCCCGGAACATGGTTTCTGGCATTTGCAGGCCCCTGGCCCACAGCTGTCGCGTCTCGCCCTCATTCAGAAGATACTCTGCAACGAGCCACGTGGTGCCAGCCCACTCCACTTGCTGACGCTCTCCAGACACACGAGGAGACCACTTCTTGGCCACACGTGGATCATCGTACTGCATTTCCAAGGGTCTGACAGCCAAACCTAATTACTCCAGAGCCACCTATCCTCCAGCTCTGTGCCTCGTAAGCTCTCTGCCATCAGGCTTCTTCTCAGTAGGGCTTGTGCAATGCCTAAGTTTGGATTTCTCGTCTGTGTGCTCTGAATTCAGGCTCTCTCTGCCCTGATGGCCCTGGTGTCTGCAGCCTAAACAGGGCAGGACAGGAAGTGAAGGCTCGGGGTCTCCTGGGCCAGCCCAGCATATTTCACAGCTCAGAGGCACAGGACCAAAAAGGTCCCCCAGCTGTCACTGCAGAGTGGAGCAGACCCAGGCAAAGAATGAGTGGGTGGCTGGGAGCCAAGCAGAGGGGACAGGAATGCATGGAGAGGAAACTGATACAGGCCCCATGCTGGCTTTCCAGAGAAGCCTACTCCCCCCTAGGCAGAGAGCCTGCCTCGAACAACCAACACCAACCAGAGAATGACGAACATCCTGGCCGTTTCACTAAGAGAGAATGCAAAGGCCTCAATCAGCCTTGATATAACATTACTTTTATTTTTTGAATGTTCATTATTGTTTTATTAATTTGGTCCCAAGAGACAAGCTACATTAGATTTTAAGAACCTGCTAAAAATGTCATCCTTGATTTTTTTTTTCCTAAAGGGATTTCGTAAAATGCTCTTAGAGGGAATCCTCTCGCTGTCCCTGCACCTGCTCTGACAGAAGCGCCTGCCGTGGGAGAAAGAGAGCCCACCAAATCTCAGCTCCTGCAAATCCCAGGGAAAAAGACATTCTGAACTGTAATGTTGTCTGGCTAGCTAAGGACCTGTCCCCTCTACAGCCTCAAATCCTGCTCACCGTTTGTCATGACTCTTTCTTGAATTCTGTACCGTCCTCCCACCATGCCTGGCCTCTTGCTGATGCCTTGGGAAGGAGGAGCGGCTGTTCACATCACTGACCTCACGCCGGCTACCCTAATCCCTTCGCGATGCTGTGTGGCGAGCACAATTATCACCCCATTTCTCAGATGGGGATGCTGAGGTGAAACAGCCTGCCTACCACGACATGGCCCGAAGGAGGCAGGGCTGTCAAAGGCCCGAGTCTCACTAACCAACTGGTTCCAGCATTGTTTTCCGAGGTTGCGCCCACTTTTATAGTTTTTCTGTCTTCTTTTTTTGAGGTTAGGCTGTCAGTTGACCCTCTGTCTGTGTCTGTCTGGAATAGTCCTTCTTCTCCTAATCAGCTCAAAATGTTAGGAGGTGGGGAGAGCAACCCCTCGTTTTACATAAAGACACTGGGGTACTGGAAAGCTGGAAGAATTCACTGACCTCAGGTGTAAAGAATCAATAGTGAACAAATTGCACAAACAGGAGAAAAAGGCTGTGACATCTTTTTTAGCTACTCAGAGCAGTTTTGCTGACTTCTTGGCTCCCAGGCAAGTCTGAGGGGTGAGTCTGCCAACCAGCTGAGTGTCAGAGCTCCAAGCATTGATTACTGGGCCGTGGCAGACCCCTATGGAGACAGGTCACCCTCTACATACATACACACAGTCCCAGGGACCACTAGGAAGAGACAGATGTAACATGACCAGCTCCTCAGAGTGGCCTAGTGTGATTCCTGTGCATCCACTGGCATCGTGAAGCCCTTCATGAGACCAGTGATTCTCCAGGCATGGTCCAGGAGCCCCTGCCCTGGGGTCCACAGACCCTTTCAAAACTACTTTTATATTTATACTAAGACCTTACACGCCTCTTTCAATCTCATTCTTTCAAAAGTGCATGATGGAATTTTCTGGAAGCTACAGGACACGTGATGTCAGCACTCTGATAGACCACAGGGTATGTACTTAAATCATCTTGTGTTTTAACACTTTCTCAGCTTAATTTCTAATACAGCAGATGTTGATATATATAGCCCACATGAATGAGAGTTCTTTGGGGCCTTCGACAATTTTTAAGAAGATTAAGAAAGTATTAGACAAGTCACTCTGGGGGCTCCGTGGAGGGCAGGTTTGAGGGGAGCAGACCTGGAGGCAGCAAGGACCAACAGAAGACAGCTGTGGTCATTCAGACACAGGGTCACTCAGAAGTGAAGCAGGATGTGGGTGGTCGAGGTGGGGATGAGGGACCAAGTACCAAGCTACATGGAGGGGTCACATCAGCAGGACTTGGTGACTAGTGGGCTTGGGTGGTAAGTGGCAGTCAGGGATGACAGGTGTCCACCTGGGTGACCAGGTAGATGGATTTGCCACCAAGGAGATTCAGGCTTTCCAAGGAGAGCTGGTGTAAGAAGGCAGGCAAGATGGGCTCCAGCCCCTCCAACTCGACAAAACCTAAGCTCTGTGGCGCTCATCACACTCTGCCTGTCAGCTCTGAAGCCTCCCCACCCCAGACGCCTGGTAGGGAAGGCTTAATCTTCTCTGATTAAAACTGTGTACTGAGCCCCATGTGCCACAAGAGCAACAGAAGGTCAAAGAGATAAGAGAAGAACAGGAAACACAGGAAGCTCTTTAAGGGAAGCAAGGCTATTTTTCTCTCTTTATGAGATTCTGCTTGTTGAGCACAGAGACGTTCTTTGCTTGGAGCACACGCACTGGCAGTGTGAACGCTGCTGTCACTGTCATTGGTGACACTGAGAGGGAGCAGTGCTCAAACGCTGTGTGCAGACAGGAAAAGCAAGGCAGGGTGGACCAAGAGCAGCACCTACCGCCTTTTAAGTCAGCGGACGCCCCCACGTACTGAAAGTTGTCCATGTTAATGACATCGATGATGGGCGACACAACCCGAGTCCTGTCCTGAAAGACAAAAAAAGAAAAGAGTAGAGACCAAAGCCAAAACAAAGAGCCCACCCACAAAAAGAAGGCTTTAGTGCTAGGCAGTTACAGTGAAGCCCAACTGCCCTTCTCACCACCTCCCGCTGTGCCGTGGAGACCCCAGCCCTCCCCACCCGAAGGCCTTGCTCTCAGCCACCAGGCGGCAGGGCCTATTCTGGCTGGGGAGGCAGAGAGCTTGTGCACAGAGAGAACCGCTCCCTGAGGAGACGCCGTGGGCGTGGGGCAGTCGGGCACTTGTGCACCTAGCTGAAGGCAGGGACTGCACCCTGGTGTCCCCCCAGCGTCCTCTTCTGTTTCCCCAGATATCAAAACTTCAGCTACAGGGCAGCTTTCATTGTGACAGAACCTAAGCTCAGCTGGACTTAAACATCAGTAGTTCGTGAGCTGCAGTACATCTGAGGAATGGACTCCTGGCTGACATGCTCACACAACAAAAGCAGCAATGTATTTCTATGGGCACATGCAGTGCACGCGATGTGGAGAGTATCAACGTTATTACAGCAGAAGGCAAACCAAATCGACTAGAGAATTCCAGATTCTAAGTCTGTCTTACCTGTGATTCTACCAAACAAAAAATCCGTTTTCTCTTAGATTGAGGTATTTTTTTATGCCACACTGCCATTGTTTTGTTAAGAGTCTGTGAACATAAAGCCTTTTAACTTGCCTGCCCTCCTTAAATTCAGATGGTTGATGCTGGTGACATGGCCCCAAGCCGATAGTCAACAACAGATAAGTGCTTTCCTGAGCCATTTAAAGAACCCGTGTTAGCCAGAAGAAAGACTCTGACAACCAAATTAGTAACAGAATTAGCAGAGATAAGACATAACTCATCAGAGGAACACACTAAGAATATTATAAAGTTCCAACACCACTCAGGTGCAAATTCATAGGGAAAAAACCCGGTGTGGCACACTGAGAACAGAGACGAATAAAATCCTCCTTGACCGGCTCAGCCTGGACCTGGGTATGGGAGTCAGAACACAACCTGCTCTACTTGTAAGTCCACTTCTTTGATTTCTTTTGACAGGACTGGAATTAGTGAGAATTACTGTTCTCCACTCTCTGTATCCTTAATTCAGGAGGGGGTATCTTAAATAATTTGGACAGTCTGACTACAGAAACACAGGGCCTCACACACTCTGACATCTTGGGTGTGGCTTTCATGTTGCCTCTGTGTCCCTGGGAGACAGCAGGTACAGTGAGAAGCAGGCATGGGGACGGGGTGGGGGTTCTAGGATGCGTTCTTCTTTTAGCTTGCTGTGTGCATGTGTGTAACAGGGCTCAGGGATTTAGGGAAACCTGCTGTGCAATCCTGGCTCTGCCACCTGTATGATTTTTGGATAAGTTATTAAAGTTCCCTGAACCCCAGTTTCCTCATCTGTCAAATGAGGCTAACACCGGATTAAAGGTAATGCATAAAGTGTCAAGCATGTGGCTTGTACTCCATCAGCGGTAGTGGATGTGATGATCATAAGTACTACTAGCTTGTGGTTATTTAGTATTTCATGACCCACTGCCTGTCGGCTATCCTGGCTCTACTGTAAAAAGAATGACCTGTTCATTTTCTATTTCTCCAGGACTTTCCTTAGGTTTGCCTTATTGCCCCAAGAAAATGTTTTCTTAGTAGGGAGGAAAGAAAAGTCAATATTTAGACAAGCAGAAGGCAAGAGAAATGATAAAAGGCCATACGTAATGGATGATGTTTCTAGATGATGTTTCTAGAAGACAGTGTGTCCATGGATCACGTGATGGCCTGGACCGGTCACTGTGTGGTTACAGCCGCCCACGAGCCTGCAAGCTGCTCCTCACAGTGAGCAGCAGGCCTGGAGGCGCTAACCTGCTGTCCTCCCGTGTTTCCCCAGCGTCCCCCCAGGAAAGCAGCAAATACTCAAGTCACTCTTGCTAGACGCAGGCACGTGTCCTAAGCACTTCGCCCCTCTGAGCTCAGAGAGTTGGTTGCAAAGCTGCATGCAAGGAGGGAAGATCCTAAGGGCCGTCTTAAACAAATTAAGGTTTCTCCAGCCTCTGCGGATCCCTGCGCCTCCTCCTCGTGGGATGATGTTTCTCCCTATGATAGATTCCTACAGTGAACAAATATCCCAGAGGCCCTTCTCCCCTTTCCGGCGTCAAGGAAAACCACGCGTGGGCCCGGCCTCACCTCTGCCACCCTCTCCAGCAGGGGCTCCAGCCAGTGCTCGTTGCACTCGCAGTGACTGTCCAGGAAGGTCAGGACCTTGGCCTGGGCCGCATCGGCCCCCCGGACCCGAGAGCGCATCAGGCCTGTGGAAATGAGTTCAAATCATGTCAGGGAAGAGAACCTGGAGCACCTGAGAGAAAGGCAGGACCGGCTCACCCAGCGCCTGCATGAGACCTCCCCCCAGGCTCTGCAGCGGGGCAGGTTTACTGCAAACTTGTGTGTGATGTCAGTACTGCCCTGTGGTTACCAAGACAGAGTTCTGTCAGGACTTTTCTTTTAAGTTAATTGGGTGACTAGGAAGACAATTTTCTGAGAAAAGGCCTTGGCATCACTGAAGTCTCCTTTATCAAGCAACCGAAATGTGGAACTTTTAAAACGACTTTCCTCAGACACAGTAACAGAGCTTTGTAATTCACTGGGCTATGGAAGGCATCACCTAGACGCTTCAAGTGCTAATGGTGCCGATTATAATGGTGATAATTTAATGGTAACAGTATTGCAAATATCTTTGCCTTCTAAGATTTATCACTAGCCAAATAATTTAAATGACAAAGCCCAGTTGTTTGGCTTTTACACAAAATTAGTTACCCTACTGGTCAAATTACACAATTTATATACTTGTGATCTGTTAATAATATACATTTTTCACTATCACACAAAGTCTTATCATAAATAGTATATTTACCCCTAGATGATGTGGTCATAAATGGCTCTTGCCATGTATGCTGTGCTGTATATATGAAGATGATGCGACTATTGACAACCAGTGACGACAAGTGTTTTAAGTTCCTTTATATGCAGTAGTCAAAATGGGTTTTCAATGATTCTCATAGAGCTGCATTGTAGAGTAGGGAAAAAAGACAAAACATTTCTAGTTCTACTATTACAAAGTAGCTTGTATTGGGCAAACCCTCGCTCAAATAACAATCATAAATTCTGAGCAAAACAGAAAAAGCAACCACTGGAAAGGGCCAGAGAGTAGCCAAAAGCAGGCAGGAATTAGAGGGGATTCCACCCTTAAAAGAAGAAAATCACATGGAATTGAAATCCACATTTACATGGTATTTCATGTAATGAACATGGTTTACATGGTTACTCTCCAATCCACTGCAATCAGCCTTTTTGGCCTGAGATATCAGAAGACAGAATTCAGGGCTTCTAGAGCGGCTGGAAACCACAGGAGGAGATCCTAGAAAGGAGGTAAGCCCAAAATCTGGTGACACCCTCCCCTTAAATCCTTGGCTGACTCCTGAATCTGCAGACACAGGGGAGACCCCAAGGAATCCATGAAAAGAAAAAATTAGAAGGCAAAAAGAACTGAGATTTCAGCTGGTATCCACTGCAGAGACACAAAGTTTGAAACTTGAGTGCCGCCAAGTTAGAAGGACTTGGTAAAAACCTCAGTTCTACAGAAACTGCAGAAGGAATGTATTGAGGAATATAGACAATGTCTCAGAAATAAGGGATTCTCCCAAGATATACTCATCCTAGCAAAGTACAACAAGCCTACACATGTTCAAGGTCATCAGCCAGTAATTTAACTGCCCAGTATAATGAAGAGCAACACTCTTTAGAGAAGGATAAGAGAATCCAGTATCTCTACAACGTTATCATTCACAATGTCCATTATAAAATAAAAAATTACTACACGTGAGAAGAAACTGGAAAATGTGATCCATCCCCAAGAGACAAAAAAGCCAAGAGAAACTCACTCTGAGATGACCCAGATGCTGGAATTAACAGATGAGGGTTTAAAGCAGCGATTACAATAACTATGTCCAAGAACTCAACGGAAATGATGGTTGTAATGAATGAACAGATGGGGAATTTCAGAGAGAAATGAAAACTAATAGAAAGAATCAAATGAATATTCCAGAATTGAAAACTGCAACTATGTGAAATGAAAAATTCAGTGACTGGGCTTAATAGCAGATTAGAGACAGCAGACAGATCAGTGAACTTGTAGATTAATAGAAACTATCTTTCTGGTCAACAAAGAGAAAAATATTGAGAGAGAGAGAAAAAAGTCTAATTGACCTATGGGACAATACATATGTGCAACTGGAGTCCAAGAATGAAGCAAAAAAAATACAAGAAGAAATAAAAGTCCAATAATTTCCCAAATTTGGTAGAAAAACAAAGGGATATATTACATATTCAAAGGGATCAGCAAACCTGAAAAGCAGGATAAATATAAAGAAAACTAAATCTAGGCACATTAAGACAAACTGCTAAAAACCAAAGATAAAGAGACATTCTGGAAAGCAGCCAGAGGAAACAACTCATAATAAACAGAGGAACAACAATGTAGACGACAATTACATTCTAAACAGAAAACAGAGGCCACAAGACATTGGAATAGCATTTCTAAAGTGCTGGAAGAAAAATCAGCAGTCAACTCAGAATTCTATTCAGAAAAAATATTCCTCAATAACAAAGGAGAAGGAAAGACTTTTCAGATAAACAAAAGCTGAGAGATTTTGTTGCCTACAAGAAAAAGAAAGTTCTAAAGGAAGTTCTTTGGGCTGAAGAGAAAGGACACTGGAAGGAAACTTGAATCTGTGGAAAGAAATGAAGATACCTGAAATGAAAGTATGAGGATAAATTTAATGGTTTCTCTATATATTCTTCTCTTAATTTCTTTAAAAGATAACTAATTATTTAAAGCAAAAATTTTAGGGGCTGGCCTGGTGGTGTAGTGAAGTTCATGCACTCTGCTTCGGCGACCTGGGATTCATGGGTTCAGATCCCGGGTGCAGACCGATGCACCGCTCATTAGGCCATGCTGGGGCAGCATCCCACATACAACATGGAGGAAGACTGGCAACAGATGTTAGCTAAGGGCCAATCTTCCCCAGCAAAAAACTAAATAAAATAAAACATTTTAACACTGCATTGTGGGGTTTAAAGCTTATGTGGAAGAAAACATATGATAATAATACACAAGACAGGGAATAGAAATGGAATTAAATTGTTGCAAAATCATTACATTTTATGTAAAGTGATATGACACTGACTCTCAGTATAGACTGTTCTAAGTTAAAGATGCATATTGGAATCCTCACAGCAACCACTAAGAAAAAATGTATAGCTAAAAAGCTATAAAAATTAAAATGGAATACTAAAGAAAAAAAAAATTGTTTCAAACTATATTGCAAAGCTATAGTAATCAAAACAGTATGGCACTGGCATAAAAACAGACACAGATCAATGGAACAGAACAGAGAGCCCAGAAATAAACCCACACATATGTGGTCAATTAATTTACAACAAAGGAGCCAAGAATCTACAATGGGAAAAGGACAGTCTCTTTAATAAACGGTGTTGGGAAAACTGGACAGCCACATGCAAAAGAATGAAACTAGACCCCTGTCTTATACCATATACAAAAATCAACTCAAAATGGATTAAAGACTTAAATGTAAGATCTGAAACCATAAAAGTCCTACAAGAAAACATTGCAGGTAAGCTCCTTGACATAGGTCTCAGGAACAATTTTTTGGATTTGACACCAATAGCAAAGGCAACAAAAGCAAAAATAAACAAGTGGGACTATATCAAACTCAAAAGCTTCTGCGCAATAAAAGAAACCATCCACAAAATGAAAAGGCAACCTACTGAATGGGAGAAAAGACTTGCAAATCATATTAACTGATAAGGGGTTAATATCCAAAATATATAAAGTACTCATACAACTCAATGGCAAAAAAAAAAAAAAAAAAAAAACCCAATTAAAAAATGGGCAGAGGAATTGAATAGACATTTTTTCTAAAGAAGACATACAGATGACCAAGAGATACATGAAAAGGTACTCAACATCACTAACCATGAGTGAAATGCAAATCAAAACCACAATGAGATATCACCTCACATCTGTTAGAATGGCTGTCACCAAAAAGACAAGAGATAAGTGTTGGTAAGGATGTAGAGAAAAAGGAACCCTCGTGCACTGTTAGTGTGAACATAAATTGGTGCAACCACTATGGAAAACAGTATGGAGGTCCCTCAAAAAATTAAAAATAGAACTACCATATGGTCCAGCAATCCCACTTCTGGGTATCCACCCCAAGGAAACAAAATCACTATCTAAAAGAGATACTGCACCTCCAAGTTTGTTGCAGCATTATTTACAGTAGCCAAGATGTGGAAACAACCTAAGTGTCTGATGGACGAATGGATAAAGAAAATGTGATTGATACACACACACATACGGGAATATTATTCATCCATAAAAAAAAGAAAGAAATCCTGCCATTTGCAACAAGCTGATGGACCTTGAGGGCATTATGCTAAGTGAAACAAGTCAGACAGAGAAAGAATACTGTATAATCTCACTTATATGTGGAATCTAAAAAAGCTGAACTCACAGCAACAGGACAGATTGGTGGTTGCCGGAGGTGGGGGTTGTTGGGAGGCGGGGGAAATGGGTGAAGGGTGGTCAAAAGATATCAACTTTCAGTTACAAAATAAATAAGTCCTGGGGATGTAATGTACAGCATGGTGACTACAGTTAATAATACTGTATTGTATATTTGAAAGTTGCCAAAAGAGTAGATCTTAAAAGTTCTCATCACAAGAAAAAAAAATTTGTAATTATGTGAGGTGATGGATGTTAACTAAATTTATTGTGGTCATCATTTCACAGTATATACATATATCAAATCATTATGCAGTACACCTTAAACAAATTCAATGTTATATGTCAACTGTATCTCAGTAAAACTGGGAAAAAAATCAATTAATCCAAAAGCAGGCAGACAGTGGGAACAGAGGAACAAAAGCACATGAGACAAAGAGAGAACTCAGATTATCAACATGGTTCTGGCCCTACCACTGTCATTAAATAGCAGTATGACCTTGAGAAAGCCACTTAACCTCTCTGGGCTTTAATATTTCCATCTGTAAAATGACAGAGAAGGACTAGGTTTTCAACTTCCAAAGTACATCAGAATTATCTAAGCAGTTTAAAAATGCAGATGCCCAGGGCCTCCCCTAGAAATCCAGAAATTTTTATTCAGTTGTAGGGAGGGTCAAGGCATGGTCATCTTTAAGCTCCCCAGATGATCCTAATAAACAGCCAGATTAAGAATCACAGGTATAATAAAATCTCAGCACTAGGCTGCTCCTTCAGGACCATAGTATTTTATGCAACTGATCTTCTCTGTCACCTAGTAGCATCACTAAAAGCACTCATGTATGTGTTTAAATATATGGAATACACACACACACAAGCACGTATATACCTCTGTGTGTGTGCATTTTCACTCGACTACCACACGCTTCATTTGTTCTATACAGGCCTACTATCATCTGGCTTCCCACAACTGCCCCCCACCCCAACCCTTTCCCAAAAAGAAGCATCCATAGAGACGGGTTCTTACCCAAATGAACATCCTCACTTAAAGCAAATGGAAAGTTAACATCTAGAAGCATTATTTTGCTAAGCAGGTTAAAGGCACTCTCTTACAAGGCTAGCAAGTGATTAGTCAGTTATAAAATGCCAATGTGAAAAATAATTTCTTTTTTTCTCTCCTCCTCTTCTTCTTCTTTTCCTGTGCCAAGAGACACTTTGGGTTTAAATTAAAAAAGTTATTATGTAGTTTGTTTAGGGGAAAATATGAGATTTTGCTTTGATCTCGGGATTTGGGTTTACTCTAAGCTTGGGAGACAGACGTGAGTCCAGCAAACAGAGCTTGCTTAGGGGCAAGGCTGATCCCATTGTTCATGTATCTTGAACATCTGGAGTGATGATCTTAGTTGGTTAAAATATGGTGCTGATGGCATTGCCCTAACAGGCTCAATCACTTCATGCACTGATTAGATTCTTGCTAAGAAAAATCACATTCCTTGACTCCAGCTGGACTGCACAGGGAACCAGAAGTAAGAGTATACACTGATCAAGGAACACAACCACCACTCCAGGATCAACAGAGACATCCTCAAAAAGCAAACATGGCACATTTTAAAGCTCTGCCATTTTCCTACACAGTAAGATTTCTCCAGACAATGGAGGAACCTAGAAGCAGCCACCAAGCTCCGTAACAGCACTGATGCACTGGTATTAATTTAACATTATGATTTTACCTTCCTTTCCAGACACTTCGAAGTAATACTTTTCCCCTTTGGAGTCTCTTATAACTGCCAATAAAGTAGCCTCGATGAGCCCAGCTCTGGCAGACAAGACTGACAGTGGGTTCTGGGGCTGGCATGTGCAAAATCCAATAAGCATGTAACTGCAGCACTCTCTCTGTTTTTGGATGGTTCACCTCCAGCAGCCTGTCAAACTTGAATCCCAGTTATTTTATCAGACGCCTGGAGCACAGAGTCATTAAACCTCTCATTGCTAAATCTTTGTTTTTCTTCTAAACTCTAGTACTCAAGGGACTGATAAGACTTCCTAGGTTGTGAAAGAGAGAGAGAAGCCAATTTTCTAAATACATAAATAAAAATGTAATTTGAACTCTTGCCCTTGTATACAAACAATTTCAATTAGTTAAGCTTTGAAAGTCCTTCCCATGCTTTGCTGAGAGAGGCTTCCAAGAGGCTCTGGTAGAGGGAGACAGACAAAGAGACTAGACAGTTAATTGTTCTTTTAGCTGAAACATTTCTTTAAGTTATTACCGGGCTCAAGAAAAGTCAGAATTTAACTGTCTCGGTACTGCATTAAGGAAAGAGTCTTACCTTCTCGCCGATCATTTCTGAGAACCCGTACTTTCTCAATTTTCCCCAAGAGAGCCCCATCCTCGGCTGGGAAAAGAAAAGAAGTAGAGAGTTTTGTAGCTCAAGTTTCTAAAGGGCGTTGTATTCAAGCATGGTGATTATCCATCATCTATGGGCTGATGATCTCCTCAGGGCATCACAGAGGCACTTCTCTCTGTGGCCTTGATTTCTGGCTTGTTCATGAAACTTGTCAGCACCCACACTACAGGAAGGCGAGCCCAGGAGAGAGGCCAGATATCAAGAGAAATGGGTCCCAGTACTTACGGTCATTGCTGAAGTCATCCACCAAGATGATTTCTTTTATGAGGTGGGGTGGACTTTTCTTAAGCACACTGAGAAAAGACAGAAAGATAAAGGTTGCAGGGCTTCTCCGGGTACCACTTGGAGTGGGGAATTCTCCTATCTTGGCCCCAATTCCCGGCTGGAGGAGCCATCAGCCATTCCTTGTGCTGTACACACAGGTGACCTGGCTGCACCCCAAAAGACAGCCCTGGCCTGGCTGCAGTGGGGACAGGGCCCGCATGCAGCATCCCTGCCAGGGAACGTCTCCCATAAGCTGCAACAGGTGGGCAACAGGTGGCATCTCCCGGCCTCACCTGACCACTGTCCTCAGCAAGGCCGACCTGGCTTCATTGTGAAACGTGATGACCACGCTGGTAGCCGGCAGATCCACCCGCCACTGCTTCCGCTGACACCTGAAGGAAGAGAAAGACCGTCTTCTGAACAATGAACCCAGATCAGCCACGGCAAGGCCCCTTGAGAGCATAAGCAGATCGTCCTGCCAGGATGGATGTTCTAGATGAACCTGTTATCTGCAGAAGGTACTGGCCTATTCTGAGACAAAGTGACAAGGGGACATAAGGAAACAGAAAAACACAACCGGAGTTACGTTTTAAAAGATGAAAGATTTCAGTGAAAAGTAACATATTGAGAACATCTTTCTAACATGTTGAAAATAAAGTGTGTTTTAAAACAGTGAAATCCCATTTATTCTCACATGCAGACACACCTCTATAGATGTGCTTTTCACAATCGACAGTGGTTATTTCTGAGGGGTGAAACCAACTGTTTGTTGCTGCTCTTTTCTCATTTTCTGCTTTGCCTACAGCAAGCACGTGGAACTTCTGTGATTCTTCACAAAGCTTATTTGGAACCTGGCATTACCCCACTGATTGCTCTCCCTTACCCTGGAAAAAGGGACGTACGTCCCTTACCCTGCCAGGCCATCTCCGAATGATGCAGGTGACAGTGGTACAGGCTGGTGCGGGGTGAGGGACGCAGCAATGGAACCTGAGCCCACTGGCTCTCTCCTTTCACCTTAAGCAGTATTGAAAGAACCCTGGGACTGCCTCTGAATAAGGCCGATTTAGGCACCTGGCCTACAAACCATGGGCTGATGACAATAAGACACTTCTCAAGTGTGGTCTCTACAGACAGACACAAAGCTGCAAGGGCCCTGCATCACTCTGTTAAAAGGCAGGACTCTTAACAGCTGTAGCTTTACGATGCTGCAGTCTGATCCACTAGAGACAGAAAGGGCCAGGGAAGGGGGGACCAGGCTCAGCAGAACCCATCATCAGGGACACTTCAAGGCAGGCTCCATGGACCTGGAGAACATGTGAGTATAGAGGTGACGTTCCCAGAGAATCCTGAGAGAACATCACATCGGCTTGTTTGGACTGCAGAAATAGTACAATTGTAGCTTGAGTGCGTTCAGAGAGTTACTAAACTAGCGAAACTACTGACACCAGCTTGGAAGAGAGGCTGGGGCAGGCAGGTAAGCGTCTTTGGCCCCAGGGAAACAGTTCTGGACCAGACCAGTCACATTGAATAGCGAAGGTCAAGAGGGTGGAAAAGTCTTGCCGGCAGTCAGGTGGGGACCTGTCAGTTGCCCCACGACAAGGTCCCTCCGCGCCAGCGTTCATTACCTGTAGAGGGTCCCTGCACTCACGCAGTTAAACACGCAGCTGCTGGTGTGGACACAGCCCCCACGGGGCCAATACCTTTTAAAAACTTGCTTTACTCTTTAGCTCTCAGTGTAGTTTACCACAGCCATGAATGATCTGCTCCCATAATTAAAGGTACCTATCTTCAATGGGAAATCAGTGGGAAAGGAGATAGATTAAAAAAAGAAATCTTTGGATCTCAGCCACGGCTAAAAGCATTTAAGCAGTTACAGACAAGTGGACGCTCCAGCAGCTGCTGGACAATTTAAGCAATTCCACAGGAACGGGAATGTCTCCAAGGAAAAGGGTCCACAGACTAATTTTCCCTCACGACTGGGAAAACTACTTCAGAGAAGCAAATTTTGAAAACGGGCAAAAAAAAGTGGTGCAATTAAAAAGCAATTGAGTCAGAATCACAAAACGGGCTTCTTTTGTGTATTTCAGTTAGATGGATAGCTTGATTTTAATTAAAATCACGAGAAAACTGCATGATATACCATCCACTGCTATTGGGGAAAAAAATGCATCCTGGAATTAATATGGTACCTCATTCTAGCTCTTGACGGCAAAGTCCTCAATGACAAGAAGACTGATAGCCTAGGTGTTTTTTTTTTTCCCCATTTCAAGAATTAGCCGATTGTTAAATTAAGCAAGTAAGAATCTGCAAGGAAGGTTCAACTGTAAACAAATTACCGACGACTGTCATTCCTAAGAACTCAATCTGTAATGCTAATGAAATAAGAAGTCCTGTCAGGAGGCGCTATCCTCCGCCATCAGGCCCCACTCCACACAGTGGGGATGCTGACTGCACCTAGTGCCTCACGGAGCACGGGCTTCTGCAGCACGTGAGATCTAAAACAGAAAGAAGAAAGCATTTTTCATGCTCAAATCATAGTCAACTTAACTGATCCAATCACGTCCTATTCTCTCCTTTTCCTTTTCTCTGCGGGAAGCCTCGTCTTCCACGAGCACTGAGAAGTCTCAAGGGGCTCGGGAAATATTTTTCAGAACACACAGGGCTGCTGTACTCACACCATCCTCTACATATTCAAAAGACACCAAGTTCTGCTGGGAATTGGCATCAGAAAATTTAAGAGGTATCCTATTTTTAAGGCAAAGAGGGATAACAAGTAAAAACTGAGAACTATCCTACACACCCATGAGTTAAGAGTGAGTGTATGTATATGAATTCAGATCATAAGCCCTCACACGGAGCCAAGAAAAGGGCGGGGGACTGAAGAATTTCTTTAAAAAGAAACAGAATAAATCTTGCATGTGAAGAGCCACATCCCTGCCAACCCGTCTTCGCTACTCCAGAGCTGGTGAAAGAACGTCCGATATAGAAACTCATCAGGGGAGCTGGCGGCCAGGGCACTTTCTTACTCGAGCTTTCTTGGGAAGTGAGCAGAAACTGTGGTTTGTTTGAAGTCCGCAGCAGGGAAAGTGTGCAGTTCCTTCCGCCCTCCCTTCCAGATGATGCAAACTGGAAGCGCGTGATGCTGAGGCAAGGACAGGGCTTTGGGTCGGATGCTGTGGGCTCAAGTTCCCTTGAGTTTCCAAGGGTCTGGTACTGCAGTGGTCATTCTGGTAACTTCCTGTCTAGTAAAATGGAGACTTTAAAAACTGGACATAAAGATTTGTTTTTAAATCCTTAATTCAGTTTTAAATTTCTCTGAGACCAGATGGCTATCAATATCTGAACTCTCGATTGGCCAGAAATAGAAAAACTGGCTGATCTCAACAGCAATGAGCCCCTCACGGTGAAGAATGAATCCGTCTCTGGGGCAGACTTGTCTCTGATGCAGATATTATGCTTGGGGTTGATCAAGACGTTGACAAAATAATCAAATGCACATCTTCAGACGGGGAAGCTAGGGGCTCTGCTTAATAACGCAGAAGGCTGTTCCATGGTGTGGAGAGGAACATGAAATATGTTTTCTACTCCACCCTCCAACACGCCATTCCCCACCCTCAGCCCAGCTGGCCTAGTATTTTTGCAAAGGGCCTGTGGTAACCTTGGTTACTCACTGTGTGATCTGAGGCACCTCATCACTCCTCATCTGTGAAAATGGCCCGCATAATCTTGTATGGTTATCAGGAAAATCAAATAAAAACATATGAAAAAGGACTTTGAATACTGCAAAAGTCCCTGTAATTCTAACACAGAGTTATAATACGCATTTGGCAGCTGTGTGTCAGCGGTGACTGTCATCAGCCATGGAGGTTCGAGTGGAGCTTTCTCAGTAATTTGAAGATGAGGCCAAAGACACGGGCCTGAGACACACTTCCAAATGTGCACATGACAGTCCGAGTGGAGAACTGCACGGTCACTTAGAGGGAGAAGGGTTCCTGGGCCTACAAGAAGAGCTCAAAGGAAGGGAAATGAAGGGGTGAGGGAGAAGACACTTACTTCAACAGAGAGAGTTCCAGAACCTCTACAAGGTCCAGGGCAAGACCACACTTACTGAGATGGCCATGACGACCAAACAGAGGGTTACAGGAATGAAGAAACACTGGGTAAATATTGTTCCATCTCCCTGAAATGCCCACTTAACTCAGATTTTGTAAGGAAAATACTAAGCAACTTAATTGATTATCAATTGAGCAATATTTACTGTTAATGCAAAGATAGGCTTCTATTACGGAAGAAATGGGAAATATACATTTTAAAAGATAAAAAAAGAAAGTTGAAAAGAATGCAGAGCCTATGTAGGCATTTTCTGGCCACCCAGTACCAGGAGGTTCTCAGCCCCTCTTGGGCCAAAAGGGCACTCCCAGCGGAGTCCCTAGAGAGGGATGTGTAGACCCTGTTACTCTCGGCACTCAACACTCGACATCTGACGGTATTATGATCTGGGGTCCCCCGTAGGAGGAAATCTGCTGGCAATGGGGACCCTGCACGTCAGGCTCCACAGCAGCGACTTCTTACCATGCGTCCATGGCAGGCCTTCCAGCCACGTCGCGGCTTCCTACGTGACAACTGAGGGGAAACAACACGAAGATCAGCAAGGCCACAGTATTTCAATGTTCTGTTGCCGTCTTAGGCATCTCTCTTTACAAATTATTAAATAGGCATTCTTGATTCACTCGATCCGTGAACGTAGTTTGAGTACGCCCGAGAGACACATCTAGCTTTGATTTGCTGACAATAAAAGAAAGCAAAGCGGTGGGGGGAGGGGGAGCGAAGACGGGGGTAGTGGGGCAAATAAACAAGCAAAAAAAGTTTCTGGGTTTGCAAAGCTAAGAGTAAAGTCTTGGACCATAATAAATTCACCACAGTAAGGAGTCTCCGGTGGCCTCTTGAGAAGAGAGGCAGCTGGCCTGCTTTTGCCCAGGCAACCTGCCGCCATCACCATCACTGTGTGTATATGCGTGTGAAATATCTCAAACACAAAATCTAGAGAACCTTATACAAGCACCATGCACCCTCCACTCAGCTTAATCAAATCTTACTATTTTGCAACACTGCAATTTGATTCAGATTTTTAAAATGAAATACAACACGCATAGCCCCTTTCATGTCCCTTCCCACCTCAACCCTGTCTTCAACAGCGGTAACCACTGTCCTGAAGTTGGTACTTCATTATTCCTACATACGTTTTTAATAAACTATGTATGTACATATTCAGAGATAATGTACAGTATTGTTATGCACATATTCAAAATTTATATGGATGACTGCACTGTGACTTGCTTTTTTCACTTTTTGGGGATATATCTTGTTTTGACACATGTAACTCTATTTCATT